AAAGCGGAGGCTCAAAAGGAATTGCATCACAGAATCCATATGGAGTAGCTGAAAAAAACATACTGAATCACAGGTTGTTTCGGCCAGTCTGCCTTAAAATGCAGAGATGCTTTAAATCCAATCATCAAATTGATCAATGATCATTTGATATTTTTATATTACAATGAACTCTTATGTGTCAAAAGATCAAGGAAAATTTGACTTATGAATTCATATTTAAAGATACACTCTAAAAAAAACTATATTGTAGTTAATTATATTTTAATTGATAAACATTTAGGTACAGTATGATGCAATCTTAAACAGTGTTCTCTACATGCTTTCTTCCGGATCTGATAATCAAACATATTAACCCTAAAAACACAGAAGCAAAGGAAAGAACAGCAAATCACAATTATTGAGTATAATAAATAATATAATATTGAGTAAAATAAATCAATAAAATTAAGTGAACAAACGAACGGTGCCTTACTGACGCGATTTGACTGGAACATTGTTAATAATAAAGTTCATCCATGCTTCAAAAATTCAAAATCATGCAAGGATTGCAATGCAAATGCTGTTTTTTCACAACTTGATACTTCAGAGGCATCTCTGTAGTTTTGTTGCTGGAGTAATATTGTTTGCATCTAACTTGTTAGAGTACTACCGGTACATGAAATGCACAAATCGGTGGGCGGGGTTAGGCAATGGTGTAGAAGTAGGCCTTGATCTTCTTCTGCAGAGGCAGGGGCAGACTGGCCATCTGGAGCACTGGGACTTTTCCCAGTGGGCCGGCCAATGTGGGCCAATGTGAGGAGTTTTTTCGTCGCACAATGACATAATAATGTGACAAATTCCGAATCTATTAATTTTTTTGAGCTTGGTTTCAATAAAAGCTGTTTTTTGACAAATGAGGACGTTTAGGTAACCAGGATATTTTTATATTACAATGAGGAAGTTTCAGGTTCTGAAACCAGGATATTTTTTATACAATGAACTGTTATATGTCAAACAATCAAGGAAAATTTGATTTCTAAATGAATGCCCTATTCATAATACACTTTAAAAAGATATATATTGTAGTAAATTATATTTTAATTGATAAACATTTAGGCGTTTGATGTTAATGAGGATCTAAATAAAAAAGGTTCGGTCACAGATTCAAATGGGATTCAAACTTGTTTTACAGTGGTATCTCAATCAAACTAAAGATTTTCAATAGAAGTCTAATACAGTCTCCAGTGGGAGCCATATGTTTGTGTGATGTGTTGTGTTTATTAGTGTTTGCCAGTTTAAACCCCTGTTTATTATTGTAGTAAAGCTTCTTTGAATATTTTGGAGGAGGGAGGACATAAAGAGGCGAGAGTGCTAAGAGCAGAGGGGGAGAGGAACAGACCCAGGCTTTATGCTCTCATATTATTCTAATCTCTGAGAGTCATCCAACGTAAGCAACACGGGGGGATTGGCCATCACTTCAATCGGGCTCAGGTCAATGCTTGCCTTGTTTGTGCTGTCACCATTAAACTTCTCGTTATGTTTGAATCAGTAAAGGCTGAACAAATATGCAGTCTCAGAAATGCATATTTTCATTTTGAAAAAGTTCAAATTCTTTATTTAGATAAATGCCTCTGTATCACTTAACATCGCCTTCATTTACTTGTTATGCATATCTGGAATTTTTCTGTTTCCAGCATGATATTGGCTTGGTGCAGCCCATAGCATAAACGACAATTTAAATCAACTTCAACCAGTCAACACAATCTGATTCTTACATTCCTGCTAGAAATCCAACTTAAACTGTTAGAGGTTTTTGGAATATGCTGGTAAAGCTTCTTCACACTGCAGTGAAATATGTCAACCAACACTGACACTCTCAAGATTACAGTATGTCACTTCTCAGACATTCCACAAGCCGACTAACAGCGGGTGAAGGTGGTCAAGCAGGTTTGTAGAACATGGCAGGCAGCTAGCTGGTCTAAGATGGTCATCATCTAGTTCAAGCTAGTAGACCAGGAGGTTCCCAATCCTGTTCCTGGAGATACCTTCCAACAGAATTCAGCTCTAAGCCTGAGACTGAGAGTGTGTTGGATCAGGGTTGGATCTAAACTCTGCAGGTAGGTAGATCTCCAGGAACAGGATTTAGCAACCCTGTAGTAGACTATCTTAAAGGTCCCCTGACATGAAATTTTCATTTTCTGAGGTTTTTTAACATTAATATGAGTTCCCCTAGACTGTATTTGGTCCCCTCGTGTCTAGAATTTTCAATCGGTGTAGACCGAGCTTTGGCTATTTTTCTCTTCTCTGCATCCGTCTGCATCTCAGACGCACTGATCTACAATCTCCCCCTATATAACGTCATATAGGGGAAAGGTTACTCCCCTTTCTCTGCTTTGCCCGCCCAGAGAATTTGCCCCGACGATGAGAAAACGAGCTAGGAACAGGAAGTACGAACACACGCAGGCGCGATTTTATTTTTTCCTAGAGAAAAAGCTTTGAGATTTGAGTTTTTCCTCGAGAGATATCATGGCTTGCAAACGAGCGAAGCATGGCAGTTGCTCAGTGTCCGGATGTACAAATGAACGCAAAAGTATTTTTTAGTTCCTTCATCCGAGCCTCTGAAGAAACAATGGGTTAATTTTATTTTCTCTGGAAATGCGCCGACTACTCCCAGAAGTTTTGTATGGTCCAAACGGGCAGAAGACAAGTTACTGTAATCTTTCTCTCAAAATCGTTCGATACTGTTTATGCATCAGTAAGTCAAGCCAGACTATTATCAACTTCACGTCGTTTCTTTGAGTAGGATGAAAATAATCTTATTTAAAGAAAGTGTTTAGCAGGATGATATTCAAAACGGTAAGCACGCGCTGCTTTGTTTACGTTATGTGTATCTGCAGCCCCGGCAGCGTCGGTTTTCCTTTTTGAATGACAAATATAGACTAATATATCTGCAGAAATAGACATTTGGCTTGTTAAACGCAGGTGCAGAACGCACATTTAGCTGACAGTCGGCTGTAGTTCTCTCGATGTGTTCAAGTGCAGCTTTTTACCTCGACGAGAGCGGACGAGTTTCGGGCTTCTATCGGGCAGATGTAATATGTGTTTGTGGCTAGAATTTTCACGTGATGAAATACAAAGATCTGACAATAACACGCAAGCATTTCATTAGTCCCGTGGCAGAACTTTTGCCAAGCGTGACAGAGGTTCTGGGTTCTAATCCCGCACCCGTAACGTTTTTTTTTCTCTCTGATTAAAACCGATTATGTTTATCAGTTGTATGTTTGTGTGCATTTTACTTTGTGATTTTACCGGATCGAATATAGTCTCCACAACGGATTAAAGCGCGAGTCCGTGTGAAGACTGCGTGCGACAGCGCGAGCCACAAGAGAACTGAGTATCCACGCCACTGATCGCAACGAGCACTTTGATCACTTGTTTTCAAAAGCAACACATTTCAGCGCTAGATCGCCTCTTATTTAAAGAAACGAACTAAATGAATGCTCTGCTAGTTAACTAGAGATGATTTATTTATTTGTATATAATTGTTCTATATAATAAATCCCACCCGCAAATTATGCCTATGCGATTCAGTAATTTCGATATCTGTAATAGTAAAAAAACGTATAATAGCTGTAGTACGTATTCAAGAGAGTTTCACATGTAATATGTAGCTTTTTCATATGCAAGCATGTCAGCCAATCACAGCAGTGGGTGGTTACATTAAATCCCACAGCAGACACGCCCCTTCAAACAGACCGTTCTAAGCAGAGGCTAAAATCAGGCTAGGAAAAGTGCCTTTTATTTCTAAATTATGACTATTTTTGATCTAAAAAACATACTAACATTATAAGGGCAACCCAGGAAACGTTATAAAATAATTTAAAAAAAAAACATGTCAGGGGACCTTTAAATCGGGTGTGCAGTGCGATTTGTAATAGTACTTTACAATTGTTGCTTGTCAGACTGTACGAACATGATCATCGCTGTAAGCCATGTCACACTGTAAGATATCAGTTGTCATTAATGTCAAAAACAGAAGTTAATGCCAGTCAGACCGAATGTGCTTTTATCCTTCCTGGTCGTGACGTCACCCACCGCAACGCTCACTCTCGCCAGTGGACTAAGTTGATATACGTGCTTTAGACGGAATCACACAGGGGCGTTCCCAAAGTGACATCGACGCAGTGCAAGTTCCCTCAGGCAGGATTTTTAGGAACATGGTAGCTAGTTGGTTTCTATTTGCAACCAGGTAGAGTATATTGGATAAGCAACGAATAAGGTACCAGCTGGTTATATCAGTGTCAGAGTTGGGTTTCAAAAGACAGAAATAAAAAATCCAAGCAGTGTATTTAATAATTTACATCTTTTATCCAAAGCGACATACAAATGAGGAGATTGAAGCAATAAAACCAACACTAGGCCAACAATTTGCAAGTGCTGTGACCAATCCCAGTTAGTCCAGCACAATACACGCAGAAAGTCTCAGCTGCTGGGCTGGTGTTGAGATGAGCAGGCTAAGATGGCACAGATGTCACTGCATGTTGCTTTCCATTAAAACAGATTGCACATTTTAGTCTAGGACTAGCTGAAGCCTTGTCTGTGAAACAGGGGGCATAATGTCTAATGTAATTTTTGACTCATAAATTCCCAGAAGTGCTTGTCAGTACATGGTTGTTTTGGTAGGTGTGCACACAGCTCAAGGCTTGGCACTGCTTTGACTAGGAGGGTAAGGTCAGGTCAGCAACCGAACCGTGGTTCCACTGATGTGGGCCTGCTTTGTCATGATAAAAATATCATACACGATGGGGGCGCTAGTGCGCAGAGGCCACCCATCATGTCTCATCAGCTGACATGACAGACACTCTCTGTGTTCAGAGGTCCTTCACACTTAAAATTTTCATCAGGTGCTAGAGAGGAAAGATACATGCCAGATCTTGAAAGATGGAAAGTGTTAAAAGAAGTTTATATGTAGTTAAAAAAAAAAAAGAAACTAGATGAGTACCTTTTATGGAAAAAAAAAATCTATGAAAGCAAAACAAAAAATTATTAAAGCAATTGATTGCTAGAGTATCAGGGTGGTTGCTAGGGTACTTGCAGTGGTTGCTATAGGGTACTCATGCTAGTTAGGGTGTTGCTATGCGGGTGGTTGGATGGATGGATGGATGGATGGGTGGATAGCATTGCTTGAATGTTTCAGATCAAAATGCTAGTTGATGATGGAAAAATAAAAAGAAAATACATATATTTTGATCAAATAAAAATGAAATGGAATGGTACATTTTTGTTAAGTGATCAAAATGTTATGTAATGTTGCTATTTTTAAAATTAGATGTTTGATTTGTACAATTATTACAACCTTGAAAAGAATAGCAGAATGTTTGGGTGAATTGTTCCTTTAATACAGGTTGAAACAATAATATATATTAATGTTTGACATAATTATATTGTTAAAACAGACAATTCCGGAGGAAAGCATTAACGTCACGTAGAGCAACAATGGATCAACAGAAGTAACACAGGAACTGCTGATGAACTCATTAAGTCTGGTTACCTGTTCAAAGGCCATTTTATGTCAAGAGAGATAGTTTTGCAAGCACCCACAAAAATTTTCAGGAGCAGGGAATATGCTCAATGTAAATTGGCAAGGAGGCGGAGTATGGAAAAAAAGTTTAAGTATGAAGAGATTGATTGACCCAGGTCCTCTTGGCTAGTTGAGCTCCTGTTCACTGTCTCTTGATGGAAGGAGCCTAATACAACACAGATCAGGACAGAAGCAGCTCCAAACACAGGTAAGACAAATTGTATTACACATTATTGTAGTAAAATAATATTGTTACTATAATCATTGTATCCATTGCCATAATGGCAGTAAGAATTACTGTTATTATACGTGGGCTAAATGTTTTGTATTGCAAAAATAATGGTCAGTTTAAGATTACATAAAACTGCAGATAATTCGATAAGAATGAAATAGTAAAAATATCAATATTTATGATGTACACTACCGTTCAAAAATTTGATTTCAGCAAGATTTTTTAAAAGAATTTAATACTTTTATTCGATCAAAAGGGACAGTGAAAACATGTATAATGTTCTAAAAGAATTGTATTTCAAATAAATCCAATTCTTTTGAACTTTCTAGCCTATTCATCAAAGAAAAAATAATCACAAAATGTCCCAAACATTGATAATAACAAGAAATGTTACTTGTTACATTAAAAAAAAGATTAACATTTAAATTGTAATAATATTTCACAATATGTTTATACCGTATTTTTGATCAAAGAATTGCAGCCTTGGTAAACTAGGCTACTTTCAAAAACATTAAATAAATAAATAAAAAATGAAAAATTTTACCAACCCAAGACCTTTGAATGGTAGTGTATATTTAGTATTATTAACAATTATTATTATTAATGATTATTATTATTATTGATACTTTTAATGTATATATATATAATTGAACTCCAGTCTGAACAAAAGCCTTTATGTAAGTTTTATTATAACTTAATCTCCAATTATTGCAGTTTTTTTTTTTTTTTTTTTTTTGGATGTTTCTGTGGTGAGCACTTAAATAAGATTGGAATTTTTTTTTTTAAACTGTCAGTTTTCAGTTGGCTAATATTATGTACTAGTTTAGTCAAAGACATACAGTCCCTGTGAGAAGAAGACAGTGCGGCTCTGTTGCTGCAGTACAGTCCCTCTGCTGATAGGGTTTTGGGGGATTTTTCCAAAAATGCAGTCTTGAGCTCAGCCAGCCCCGCTCATCTAAGCCTAAAATATATTTGAAAGACGTGTATTCTATATTTACACAAATTTGAACAGTAAATGAATGTGAGACTGAACATGAAAAGTCATGCCAAGGCAAACTAAAGGAAAACTTTTCTCTTTTTTCAGGGAACAGATCTGTCATATCCCAAGTACTTGTAAGATAGTCGAGAAAAATAAATATAAAAACTTTGCAATTTTGATTTAGGTTCTATATTATTAGTCAATGCCAACTTATTTCAGCAAAAAATGTTAATCTCTATAGTTTTTCTCCTCGTCCTAAGTCCTGTGTCTTCTCTTCAAGGCACACATAATGAGAAAAAAATTGACACTACCAAATTAATGGGCCACACTATTATCCATAATGTTCCAAAGCTAGTAACTACATCAACCGCCAAAGCTAATGCTGCTTCTTCAAAAAGTAGCGATCAGACTCTTATGTCCACCCCGAAGCCTGCTGTGGATGGTCTCCAGAAACCTGTGCCTTCTCTTCAAGACACACTTGGGGAGAAGAAAAATTCTTCTACTAAATCAAGAGTGAACACTATTAATCTTAATGTTCATAAACCAGTAACCACATTATCAAACTCCAAAATGAAAAACCAAACTCATTCTGCTTCCTCAAAAACTAGTACCATCAGTCAGACTGCCCCATCCACTCCAAAGCCTGCTGTTGATGGTGTCCAGAAACCTGGGCCTGCTCTCCCAGGAAAACTTAATGAGAAGAAAAATTATACCGCCAAGTCAAGAGCCCACACAAGTGGTCTTAATGTTCCAAAGCTAATGACTACAGTATTGAAGACTAAAATGAAAAAACAGACTCATCCTACTTCCTCATTTACGAGCAGCAACAATCAGACTCTTCCATCCCCTACTAAGATTGTTGTGGACGAAAGCTCACTTAGTGTGAAGAAAAATTCCACTTTGAAGTCAACAGATCTAACTATTAAGGTTAATGTGTCAAAGGCGGTGACTACAGTATTAAACACCAAAACGAAAAACCAGACTCAATCTACTCCCTCAAAAATTAGCAACGTTGGTCAGCCTCAAGACATTGCACAGAAACATGTACCTGCTCTTCAGGATCCACTTAGTGAGAAGAAAAATTCTACTGTGAAGTCAACAGCCCGAACTATTAAAGTTGCGACTACGTTATTAAACACCAATATATCCTCAACGTCTAGTAAAGTGAATCAGACTCTCCCATCCTTTAAAAAGCCTGATGTGGACACCATCCAGAAACCTGTGCAAAGTGTAAAGTCACCAGTCAACACTATAAAACCTAATGTTCAGAAACCAGTGACTACATTATTAAAGACCAAAACGAAAGACCAAACTAAATCTACTTCCCCAACAACTAGTAGAGTGAATCAGACTCTCTCATCCACTTCCAAGCATGATGTGGTCACCGTCCAGAAACCTGTGCAAAGTGTACAAAACCCAATTAGTGAGAAGAAAAATGTCACTATTAAGTCAATCATCAACACTATTAATCTTAATGCTCAGAAACCAGTAACTTCATTACTAAAGAACAAAATAAAAAAACAAATTCAATCTACTTCTGCTAAAAACAGTAGCATTGATCCGACTCTTCCAGCTGTAGATGTTGTTCAGAAACCTGTGTCTTCTCTTCCAGCTACATTTGCCGAGAAGAAAAATACTACAACCAAGTCAGTAAGCCACACTATCAATGTTAATCCTTCAAAGCCAGTATTCACAAAAATTAAAAACCAAACTCTTTCTGCTTCCTCAAAACCTAGTAGCAACAATGAAACTCTTTCATCGACACCAAAGTCTGCTGTAGATGTCCAGAAACCTGGCCCATCTCTTCAAGGCACACTTAACAAGAAGAAAAATAAGACCCAAACTATTAGTCATCATTTTCCCAAGCTAACTACATTATTACAAAATCAGACTAACTCTACTTCCTCAAAAATCAATAAGACCCAGTCACTGTCCCAAACTATCAATGTTAATTCATCAAAGTCAACAACTACATCATTAAACACCAAGACAAAAAAACAAACTCATTCTTCCAAAATTAGCAAGGTCAGTCAGACTGATGCATTCACTGCCACGCCTGTTGTAGACGGTGTCCAGAATCCTACTAAAGACAAACCTGCAGAGAGTTCACCAGTTAAAGTAGTCATCGCTGAGGGTTGCGTTCAACGGGAGTCTCACATAGATGCAGGGAACATTACCAAAATACGAGAAACAGAGCTAAGTTTGAATCCAGGATCTCCTCTGGTTATGACTCATCACATCAACCTGGTACAAGGAGACTGCACAGGAGGATGTGAGACGCAGATGGCCGCACTGAAGGACAGAGTTGAGTTTCTAGAGAAAGAGATGTCAGTGATTAAAAAAATGTGTAAGTAAAATGTTGTACTGACAAAAATAAATAAATAAACTGTTGACCATTACTATGGTATTTTAATGGTTCTGGTAGAAAGAAATGTGTAGAGTAATTGTTATGAAGTGAAACTGGATGGACTGGTTTTAAGTCACACACTGTACCATCTATCTTTAGGTGTCCAGTGCTCAGGAGAGCAGTGCCCTAAAAACTGTAGTGGCCAGGGCAAGTGTGAAGGCGGAAAGTGTGTATGTTTCCAGGGCTTTAGTGGCCTTGACTGCAGTGGAAAAACATGCCCCTCTAACTGCAACAAAAAAGGGACGTGTGTGAAGGGGAAGTGCATGTGTCAGACTGGTTATAAAGGCCTAGACTGCAGCAAAGGTAAGTAAAGCATATGAGAGTCAACCACATTTTAAACTTAGAATAGTTCACTACAAAAATGAAATTTGGCCATTATTTACTCACACTCATGTTATGGCAGTCCTTTATGTCTATCTTTAATCTGTAGAACATAAAAGGAAACAGACTGATAGCAGACTGTTTATGCTGTTTCCTTTGGGTGCAGTCTCATTTGGGTTTTGTTGCTGTAATTTCCCATGTTTCCCGAGTATTGTGATTAACTGTTCTCGACATTGTGCGATTTTTTTTTTTTTTTTTTTTTCCAAAAGTTGCAGAAAGTATCATAAGTCTTGGGGTGCGTGTCCAACCTACCATATTTTTCCAATTGCTTTAAATGGAAGCTCCATTTTTTTTTTAAATGCAAAGAGCGCAATGAGCCGCTCAGCGCTCAACATTTTTTTACTGGTTGCCGAGATTTGAAGAATGTTCACCTTTGGGTAAAACTGGCTCATCACTGTCACTTTTTACCCAGATATATGCATTACCATACCAAACACTTGTCATTACAGAACTACTTTTATCATTTTAAATGGTGCTTTTTATAATGTTAAAGCTCCCAATCCATTTTCATTTTGTGGAGCAGAATCATGATGCCCATTTAATTTTGTGTTTCACAAACAAAAATCATTTTTTCAAAATGTTTTCATTTTGGGATGAGATATTTAAGAATGTATCTATTCTAGTCTCACTCTGAATGACTTTTGCTTTTCCTAGGTGTTGACAAAAAGATCCCAGTAACTGTTGAAACTGTGACTACTGTCAAGCCAGACACAAAATCTGTGAAGACAAAGCCAGACAAGAACATTTTTGTGAAAAAGATAGATACAAAGGACCAGAAGAAAGACACCAGAGCTAAGCCAACATTGTCATGTAAAGTTGGCTTGTCCAATGGTACAAAAAGCGACAAGAATATTAAGACTATTGGGCAAGTTCTGCAAAAGTATGAAGGTAAAAGACGTCAGATATCCCAAACGGATGAGAAAGATAATCTTAAAGATGAACCTGTCCATGAGAATATGACTGAGGTTGATGAAACCTCCAAAGTTCTAGAGAAAGGCACCAAAGGATCATCTAATGTAACTACATCCTGGACAAAGTTTACTTCAAGAACTGCAGGTGATCGAGGGCTGGAAAGCAACACTAATGTTACTAGAAAAGACAAGAAGCTATTGCATGGCAATGTAACAACAATTCTCCAAGCAGAGAAGAATCCTGATAAGCATGTAAATGGGACAAATATTGAATCCAAAACTCATATGAAGCATTTTAACAGAACTAGCAGCAGATTATCAGTCATTGGATCAGTGGAGGTTCATAATATCACTTCTACTGGGTTCATTTTGTCTTGGGAAACTCCTAAAGACGCATTCAAGAACTTCACTGTGACGAGAAGGGAAATCAGTGCAGGAAATGAAGATTCAGAGAAAATTCAGGATGGAGCAGCAGCTGAAAATCTAACAGATGTCCAAAGGCCCGGTTCAAACAGAACTTCAACTAAAGTCCACAGTAACAAACTTGAAGGAAGGACTGTGAAAAAGTTCTCACAAGTTATAGCTGGTACAGCACGGTCGTATCATTTCAAAGGCCTTCAACCTCAAATGCGGTACTCTGTTTCCTTGTTTGGCTCTGGTCTTGGTCTACGGTCCAAAATTCATCGTCTTACATTATCAACTGGTAGGTTTCCCATATTTCCTGCTTTGGTTCACTGCAATAAACACCAGTGAAGAGCATTTACCCTTCTGCGGTGTGCTGGTAGCACTTCCATGAACACATGGGATATAGTACCTTAAATATTGACATTGGCATGACCCATTTATACTATTTTAGTCATAAATACCAGGCATAAGTGACATCAGGAGCACAAAACAGCCTTAGATTTTCTTTGGCTGTCAATTTCCAGTAAAAACTCCTACAATTAATGATGTACTTTATTGGTGAATGGTGCAGTTATTTCAAGAGTGAATTCACCAATTGATTACTTGGATAATAGGGCATATTTATGTAAGAATATAAATATGAATAGAAATTTGGAACTTTTTTTTTTTTTTGGGGGGGGGGGTTGTTATTATTTTTTTTAAAGATTTATCTTTAGTTATTTTTTTAATGTGATAGGTGATAGTATAGAGTGGACAGGAAGCAAGGTGGGAGAGAGAAGGGGGACGGGATCAGGAAAGGTCTACAAGCTGATATTTGAACTCAGTCGTCCGAACTGCAACAGCGATATATCAGAGGTCTTCCCATGAGACTACTGGCACCGACTGTTTGTTTGTTTGTTTTTTAGCTGCGTTGTTAAAATTCTATATGACATTTTACCGACTTATCTCTTTTTTTTCCAGGACCTGAGTCACCCACTGACCTGATGTTCAGCAATATAACAGAGACTTCTGTTTCAGTCTCCTGGGGAAAACCTAAAAGCATAGTAGCAGAATTTAAAGTCACGTACACCAACATTGTGACTGGTACTGAAAATGTTATCCTGCTTTTATGCTTCAAATATTAAGTGTGTTCACCATAGCTGATGTGCCACAATTAACTGAGTCTGTGATGTGATTTTACAATGCTTTACCCTTTTATGCTGTAGGCCAGAGTGGCTCCATATCGGTTGACTCTCAACTGTCCCATGTTCTCCTGTCTAAGCTCTCTGCTGGCTCCACTTATGATATTACTGTGAGCTCAGTCCTGGAGACACTTAAGAGCGAGCCAATCACAGCCTCCGTCACTACAGGTAAGCACAGTTTTGTTTTTTTTTACTTGAAATTATGGTTAAACGATTTTCATTTTGATCCGATACCAAAAAGTGAAAGGTATTTTTTATAAATATATATATTTTTTTTTTACTAACACATTTTCTTTCCATTTCAAAGCTTATGATACACATACATTTTCATGCTAAATAACTGGTAAAAAAAAAAAATAAAGGATCAAGTTTCTAATATCAGGATTAATCCTCTTAATAAAAGTATCGATTCAAGAACAGTCTTCTCATCTCTACTTGATTTTGCAGTCATTGATGACTTTCACATTTCTCTAAATCCCAGTACCAGACCCTCCTACTGAACTAAAGGTGATGAACATCACAGACACTAAAGCTCTGCTAGTATGGAAACCATCCCAAGCTAAAGTGGACAGCTATATCCTCAGTTATGGAACTAAAAAATGTAAGTGCTGTCAAACCTATTAAATGGCTGCTTCTCCACTAAACCATCATGACTTACTTAAGTTGCTTTGCTTTCTAGCTCCTAATGTGACTATTACAGTGACATTATCTGGCAGTACTGTGGAGCATCAGCTCAGAGGACTCCATAGATCTTCTTTGTACATGGTGAAAATCACAAGTCAAGTCAACCGGCTCCAGAGTATCCCGGTCTCTACAACCTTTACAACAGGAAGTGGTGTGTAAACGTGTCACAATTATGTTTTCTCAATCTTCAAGTAAACCACATGACACAAAAAAAAAATAGAAGTAACATGTTATGACTGATAATCACTAAATATCTGTACTACAATATTGTCCAAATACATTTTAAAATATATTTTAAATTTTACAATAAAAAATATTTAAAAAAATTGAAAAAAGAAGAGAAAACTTAAAAGTTTAAGGCAACACCACTTTAAAAAAATATTGTTGGTTTAACTTAAAATAAGTAAAATAAGTAACCTGGTTGCCTTAAAATTTTAAGTTCATTGAAATGGAAAAATTGAGTTTATACAATGAAGGATATTGATTTAAACATCAGAAACTCAAAATATTATGTTATTTGAACTACAGAAATTATCTAAGTTGATTTGACAAAAGAAAAAATATAGTGATTACAAATCATGAAAATATTTTTGCTGGACATTTTTGAGTTTTCTCAACTTCAATAGTTCATTAGTTGTTATTAGTTGTACAAACGTTTTGATGTTAAATAGTTGAATAAACTTTAAAAACATAACTTGTCAAACAAAATGTAAGTTGGATTTTTTTACAGCATGGCAATGATACAATGTAGGCTAAAAAATTGGAAATTTATTTTTATTTTCTAAATATTATATTTAACAGTATTATTAAAGTATTAGTGCTTTTAAAGATTACATTTGCTGTCATCCATAGTTTGTTTAATTTATCTAAATGTAAAAATAGCATGCACATTTATTTAAACATCCAAAATCAGCCAATTTCTGTAAAATACAACAATCCTCAGTTTTACTCATTATACAGTCACACTAATGAAACATCATTATTACAAAGTGCAATTCATGAGTGTGTTTAGAAACAGCCTATCACGCAAGTGTGCTCTCTTTAAGAACACTTAAGTGGTATTTTATCTCATTGCTATGTTATCTGCAAGTACTGCTTTTTGAAAGTATTCTTTTTGAGATTTGAAGTACACTACAAATGCACATTCAATACTATTAAGCACACTACTTAAACTCAATACTATAAACTCAAACTACTAAACACAAAAGGGAACTTTAATGCACCTAAAATGTAAAAAAAAATGCTCAATTAAAAATCCAGTATCAGCCAATTCTGATAAATTGTAAAAATCATCAAATTCACAAAAAAATCCTTAATTTTACTCATTATACAGTCACACCATGCATTTTGTAAAGTTGTTTTGAAACAATATTGTGAAAAGAGCTATGCAAATAAATGAATTGAATTAAATTGAACATTTGGTATGACAAAACTGTGTGATGAACAGACCAAAATTGTATTTATCACTGAAAATCATCCTGTCGACCATAGTAGCTAAATATCCTCTATATGATCTGCAATACCTTATCCCATTTTTCCATGCCTGTGTGATTTCCAGGAGTGAAGCTTCAGGTAGTGACTCCTGTGGTGACCTTTCACTCAGCTTTGATTTCATGGAGGGCTCCCCGTGTGGCTTTCAAAAGTTATAGGCTCACATACCAGCTGAACGAGGAAGTCCAGGTTAATATATCAATCACTCAATGGCACCTCTCAGTCAAATTTGGCAGCCTTTCAACAATTTTCTCTGACCTTTGCTTATGAACAGGAGCTCATTTTAAATCCATCTGTGACGCACTATGAGCTGACTGGACTGGCAGCCTCCTCAAACTATACTGTGAAAATAGAGGGAGAAAGAGATGGACAATACATCAGTTTTGTCTCCACTGAGTTTACCACTGGTGCGTAATGATCTGTTTCTTACCTTTCACCCCTCATTGCGTTCTATCTCTAAGAGATTTGATTTCCTCTCCTCTGCCCCTGTAGCTATGCTCCCGCACCCATACCCCAAAGACTGCTCAGACGTACAGATCAACGGGATGAAGGAGTCAGGAGAGGCTGAGATCTACCTTGAAGGGAAGGATGGAGAGCCAGTCTGGGTCTACTGTGACATGGAGACTGATGGAGGAGGCTGGACAGTAAGAAACAAAAGCCTGGATTGAGACCTCTAATACACTTACAGCTTTCCCCATGAAACTGCTGTTGGAGTGTGAAATATTTCATATTTAAATCCTTTTTAAAACAGCCAATAGATTCGGTTTAAGTCACAGCCTTGAAGTGTGACTTGCCTGATTTCATGGACAAAACAATGAAGTAAATGTACATATGCTATACCCTTTGACAAAGAAGTACACTTTATCACACTTTTTCAAAAGAGTACTTATTATGTAAGGTAAGTATATGTCATAATAATTATTCCCTGAACACTGACCTCTCTACAATATACTTTAAAAGAAACGTAAGTGTGACCTGAATGTAATTTTTTTACACTTAATTGCATGATAATTGCAATTAATTGAAAATTAATTATAGTTTAAATTTATATTAGATGCAATTAGATGAGTTTTTTATCTCTACATGTAATTTCAATAAAAAATGTCTTTTATATTTTTATTTCTGAACTATACAGTTGCTTATCACAATTTTATGGAATTATGCGATATTTAACTGTATAACAGAAATTTTGAAAATTTGAAAGAAGAGTTGAAAATTAGCATCAGCTATAAACTATATATGCTGCGCATTAGTCACAGGCTTTGTATTGTAACTATGTTTGACTGTATGGTCTCTGTTAAATAAATAATTAAATAAATATACAAATATATGTTTGTTTTTTTTTGTTGTTGTTTACTTGAAAAAGACTTTGTTGTTTTGCAAATCCAGGTGTTCCAGAGGAGAAGGGATGGATCTACTGATTTCTTCAGGAGCTGGAGAGATTACAGCAAAGGCTTTGGTCTCCTGAGTGGGGAATTCTGGCTGGGTGAGATTTCCCACAGTGATTGTATTTTTTTTTAGAAACAAAAAACTATTTTCAATTTAAACAATACTTGAGGTTTCCACCTAAAGACAATCAGTTTAGAATATCAAATAGTTTTATGTTGTTGGGTTTTTTTATTAGCACTTGTATTTTTTTTACATTTTGCCCCATCTCTCCATAGGAAATGACATCCTTCACACTCTCACCAGTCTTGCTCCAATGAGCTTGCGAATTGACCTGCGTTCAGGAAATGACACAGCCTTTGCTCATTATGCCAACTTCAACGTTAACTCAGAGGCTAATCACTATGCAATCGAGCTGTCTGGATACTCTGGTACTGCTGGTAAGAGAAAAAGATCATGCTGTGTAAAAAATCTTTTTGTGAGACTATATTCTGTGTATGATAGCTGAATTCTTTCTTTTTCCAGGTGATTCAATGACATATCACAATGGCCGTCCGTTCTCTACGAAAGACAAAGACCCAAACACCCTGAGTATCCATTGCGCTAAGGCCTACATGGGAGGCTGGTGGTATAAAAACTGTTACAAGGCAAACCTTAATGGTCTCTATGCCTCCTACTCAGACAACAAGGTAGTACATCAGCAAATAGCGTTTCTGTATTCATTAATATTAGGTTTTCAAGGGATACTCCTATGTTTTTTTTTTCATATTAAACTATGTTATTCCCTTAACTAAGACGAGTTGATAGATACCTCTGTCGTCTCAGTGCGCTCACTCAATCGCTGTGGCACACGAGACACTTTGATAGCACTTAACTAGCCCAGTTCATTCAATAGAGGCCAAGCAGAGAAGCGACCAAACACCTCCACGTATTGTATGGCGGAATACCACAGCAAGTGCTTGGGAGCATTTCGACTCGGCGCAGTAATATCATCACTCGTGAATAGTCCTCTCCCCCCTCTCACTCTCCAGTTTGATGATATTACTGCACCGAGTCCATATGCGCCAAGTCAAAGTGCTCCCAAGCACTTGCAGTGGTATTCCGCCATACAATATATAGTTATCCACTTTACACACTTAGAAAAGCGCAACGTTTTATTTTGTGTCACCGTCCTAGGTCGAGTTACACTACTTGTGTAACTGTATTTAAATAGGGAAAACGTGGAGATATTTGGTCGCTTCTCTGCTTGGCCTCTATTGAATGAACTGGGTTAAGTGCGATCAAAGTGTCTCGCGTGCCACAGCGATTGAGTGCACGCACTGAGACGACAGAGGTGTGTATCGACTCGTCTTTGTTAAGGCAATAACATAGTTTAATATGAAAAAACGATGGAGTATCCCTTTAAGTACAATGTTAAGAGCACCAAACTATAGCCATTGTAGGGATACCGATTGAGCTTGAGTCTCATATTGTCTCTCATTAGTGCAGATTTCTGAGTATGTTCTTCTTTTCTCTAAGGGTGTGGTGTGGATAGACTGGAAGGGCAAGGATGCGTCCCTCCCATTTACTGAGATGAAGCTTCGACCCTCCTATTTCAGTCAAACGATCCCAACAACCCAGGGTTAAAACTGCACAGTGAAGAGTGCACATAGCGCAAATACACTGTACAAACCTCTACACACTGCTACTTCAGTATTGTATATTTACCAACATACACACACAACAAAAACTGTAAAGAAATCTGATGGCAGCTTTGCAAAGAACATATCACAACCTCCAGCCAATCACAACAACTTTTTTTAAGTTAATATGAAGTTTTTTTTAAATGTTATGTAGGATTATAGTATGCATGTGTTGATGTACTTGTGTTAATGGTGGTTCATCGTTGATATTAACATTTCCGCTACTGGAATAACTGCACTGTCTTGCTCTATTGGTACTATTGGACTGGTTTAGAATTCCTCTCTATGAATTTGTTTTACTTTTTATGTTCAACATATTTAGACAAAATCAATAAAACAAAGTGCTAGAGTCCTGAATTCCAAAAAAAAAAAAGTTTTTGTACATTATTCTTAATATTTCTTATTATTATACTTACTGAATCTGCATATGTTCATAAAGATTCTATGTATTAGTGCACATGGACCCATCAGTGAATTATTACAGCATAGCTTTTCTTTACAGGCACATCATTTTCCAAAAATCCTTTTCCAAATGTCTTTGTTCAGTTCTGCTAAACTGCCAGTTGAAGCAGACTGGTTTAACAGTAATTCCTGTGAGGGCTGAAGGCTTAGATTGTGGTTTGGCTATAGACTTGATTCCGCCATACCTGACACTATACTTCTTTGACTGGTTTTTCAGGGTGGTAACTGTATTTCAGTATATTCCTGAGCTTCTGCTGAATCACTGCTTTATTTGCAATGAATGGGGCCTTTCCTAACGCCCCGTGGCAATATATCAGCATGGAGCTCGGCAGTAAAGGATATACAATAGCATGCACAGTTGCACTTAGTGTTAGAGTCCACTATTTATATACTTCCTTTTTTTACTAAATAGAAACTTTGTTGGTCATAAACCCATAGGCACTTGATATCATGCAATATCATTCATCAAATCGTCATGTTAGAGGTTCATTCTTCTTGCTTTGAGAGTACATTGAGATGAAGGTCAGGATAATATTTACCTATCCTTGATGAGAGGATACTTTGAGAAACAACACTCAATCATGTGGATTGGAGCAGGGTTGGAGGAGGAATATAATAAAAGGGGGAGAGTAAACGAAAAGCTTTCAGAAAGTGTTTAGACTCAATAAAGAATCAACAGCATGTGTATCTCAGCAGTGAGTGTGGTTCTGTTACTATTCATTTTGTGGATGCTTGTGGTCCAACTCTGTAGACAGACTGACAGGCAAAGTGACAGAGGTGCCAAAGCAAGCAACAAACCAGAAGGTAGGAGGTTTGATTCACATTAGAGCTGTGGAGGCATAGATTTAAGAATTTTCCATTGATAACTTAGCAGAAAAGTGAAGAAGGAGATTATTGGTGGGTGATATAACACTTTCGAATACGGAACGCTTCGTTAATGAATAACTACACAAGAACCAATGAGTAACACAATATTAAAAATATAGTGACTATTATTAACTAACAAGAAACTCTGATTAGCGATCAGTAGTACTAAGTAGTACTTCCAGCCCGATCTCACGACCAAGTCGTACGAATTCGACGAATGATTAAAAAGTGGCTAATTCGTAACAATTCATACGACCTCACTCGTGCGAATTAATACGATTTTGCTAAATCGTACATATTTTACGAGTTGGCCAATTCGTATGAATTCGTACGAATGACCTACCCCTTACCCAGCCCCTAAACCTAACCATCACGTGGGTTTAGACAAATCGTACGTATTAGTACGAATTAGCCACTTTTTAATCATGCGTCGAATTCGTACGAATTGGTCGTGAGATAGTGTTGAGTACTTCACTATTAACTAATCAATAACTACTATTTTTAATGCTTCCCAGAGAACTACCGAAACATTTTCATAATTCATGCAAAACTAATCAATAACCAACAGGACAAAATGACTAGCACTACATTAACATTTTAACTGCTACTGTAAACGAATACACAAATGTTGTTTACATTATCAATATGTAATAGCATAGCAGACTTATGATTTGGGAAAGCTGTTAATAATTGGCCTATACTGTATATTTATCAACTAAATAATTTGAAAGAAATGGATTTTTAAATGCAGTTGTCGGGACCTACTTGTCTTGTAGCCAATTTTCCGGCATTCCTCTGAACTGGCATTGAATCACTAGAGTCATGGTGAGTACTGGGACATATTGAGTCAGCCATCCAAAAACCATATACAGGTATTTTATTGTTTAACCTACCTCCCAAAAAAATGTTTTTATGTACATCTCCCAGGTCAACCCGGTCTCACCCCAAGACGTCAAATAACTGACGTTTTGGGACGTCTTTTGACCATACGTCAATATTCGCCTTTTTAGGGCCCCCTTAAACGTCGGTAGATGAGGTTATGGGATCCTAACTCTACCCCATACATAAACCTAACCCTAAACCTATAGCCCGTCACCTAACTGACGTTAAAGGTAAAGCGTCAGTTGTATGACGGCCCGGGATCGCCATCTACCGACGTTTAAGGGGGCCCTAAAAAGGCTGATATTGACGTATGGTCAAAATACGTCCCAAAACGTCAGTTATATGACTTTTTGGGATGAGACTGTGTTACCCAGGTCTATATATATATATGTGTGTGTGTGTGTGTGTGTGTGTGTGTGCATATCTTGAGTGATTAGAATTCTATGCTTTATTGGCTTTTCATTAAAGAATCATGGTAACAAACTAGTAATCTTGAGTGTACATCTACTTCTATGGGAATTACTAATTATTTGGATCCGTATTATAAAGTGAAGATTATGGGAACTAATGACTCAAGTGTTACTACATACTTCTAAAGAAATTATCAAACTTTAAGTTAAGAAAAAAGTATAGGCCTACTACATAAAGTTCACTAAAAAAAAAAACGCTTGAAATGACTTTTGTGTTTGGTTGCACAAATCATGACTAGATCATGTAACACTTGAGTCATTACTAGTTAGTTCCAATGATCTTCACTTTAGAATAAGGATCCAAATAATTAGTAATTACCATATAGTACCACTTTCATCTGTGCACTATTACATACTAATTCATTAATCAGTGTTTCTTTTTAGTTAATAGTAGTTGATTGTTAATAAACTTTTTCAGTAGTTTTCTGGGAAGCATTAAAAAAGTAGTAGTTATTAGTTAATCTTAAATTAGTGAATCTGTGCACTATTATTTTCTACTTTTGTTTTGTTTGAGTTTCTTGTTAGTTAACAATAGTTACTAGATTGTTGTGTTACTCATTGGTTCTTGTGAACTTATTCATTAACGAAGGAACCGTATTCTAAAGTGTTTCCCCAAAATCTAATACCACGATATCAGATAATAGGTATTATAATAGGTATAATAAGGTTTTTATGATTTCAAAATGTTTAATACCATTGACATTTTGGATCCAATATACTCGTGTGTTGTTTTCTTTCTCAACTGTTTACGTTCACTGAAGACATAAATTACTGTTTAATTGCAAAGACAGGGTCACTTTGACACAAAAGTATGTGTATTTAGTCGGCAAAAAGCACTCAGTTCCGTTCCTTGCGCTTCATGAGAAGTGGCTTCATGTGTGCACGTCTCTAACACAGTGATGATAAACAGTCTCTCTGACAGCACGCACATATATCTATATGTCTTTCGCTGCTTACTTAATCAATAGTTTTTAACTCGCAATACTTAAAAACGCATGCAAACGACAAGCTTCCGTGACTGTGTAGCACAGAAACGTCAATTAAGCGTAACCACGACAGAGATGATTGTCCAAAATCTCTGGTTAACAAATTTCTACTGATTAATCGTGTCTAACGGTATATCGCCCACCCCTAAAGGAGATTGCGAAATTCAACAGCTCTGCTCCATTTTGATATGTACTTGTCTTTCCACTGGCCTAGCTGCTGCACCCAAACACCTACATTCCCTCTCTAAGCCCTTCCTTCCTCTTTCTACCACTCTTCCTGGTCCATTCTCTCTCCCTCTACTGGGCAATATGCTGGATCTCGCTCAAGATCATCTGCCCATCCACTTGACTGCACTGGCACATCGCTATGGAAATATCTATCGGCTCAACTGTGGCAGCACAAGTAATTCATCTTTTTATTTGATCTTCATATGTTAGTAAAACTCATGAACTATGAACCACAACAAAATCCAATGTAGAATTGTACACAATTCATCAATTTTGACAACACATTCTCATCCCAAGACGTCATCTAGCTGACGCTTTTGACCATACGTCAACATCCGACGTTTTAGGGCACCCTTTAACAGCAGTTAGATGACGCTATAGGGTGTCATCTAACTGACGCTTTACCTTTACCTTTTAGGTCTGGGGTAGGGTTAGGGTTAGATAGCGTCATCCAACTGACGTTAAAGGGTGCTCTAAAACGTCGGATGTCGACGTATGGTCAAAAGCGTCAGTTAGATGACGTCTTGGGATGAGAACGGGCTGATTTTGAATCATTTTGAACATTTAAACATTTATATTTACAATAAAAAAGAAAGGAAAAAAATAAACAACAGAGCAATGGGAATGCATTTTGTTTTTGAGGAAAGGTTTCCGGGGTAGGTCATTCGTACGATTTAGCAAAAATCGTACTAATTCGTACGAGTGAGGTCGTACGAATCGTTACGAATTAGCCATCTCGTAAAATTCATACGAAGTCTCGTGAGATCGGGTTGGATAAGCACGTAGGCTATTCGTAGCTAACAAATCAACCCGGTCTCATCCCAAGACGTCATATAACTGACGTTTTGGGACGTCTTTTGACCATACGTCAATTTTCGCCTTTTTAGGGCCCCCTTAAACGTCGGTAGATGAGGTTATGGGATCCTAACTCTACCCCAGACCTAAACCTAACCCTAAACCTAACCCGTCACCTAACTGACGTTAAAGGTACAGCGTCAGTTGTATGACGGCCCGGGATCACCATCTACCAACGTTTAAGGGGGCCCTAAAAAGGCGGATATTGACGTATGGTCAAAAGACGTTCCAAGACGTCAGTTATATGACTTTTTGGGATGAGACTGTGTTAAACAAATAAAGTGTAGCATACATGTTTGTCATGTGGCACAAGTAAAAAGTAAACTGAGAGCAATTCTTCTTGTGTATGTGTGCTTTTATTTATTAGACAAGAAAGATACATTCTCCAGTCTTATTTTTTTTCATAGTTTTTCTATAGTTGTTAATTATTAGTGAAAGCTACAATGGCAAACATTCAGACATGAGTCAATTATGTAATGATGGTATATGTTAACCAGAAACATTATTTTTCAGTGTTATTATTATGTAAAAACCAAAACAAAGGTTTGCTATTTTAATTGTAACATTTAAATGTGATTTATTTATTGCTGTTCCATAACAATCTTATGATTCATAATTGTTTTACCATTTACTTTTTTATCATCAATAACAAAATATAACATAGGAGTAAAAAAAAAAATCCGACCACTGCATTGTTGCAACTGTTGCAACCATTGTTACATTAGTCCCTTATGTCATTAACAATCTCTTTTCATGTCCTTTATCAGCCATGGTGATATTAAACAGTAGTGAGATCATCCGCGAGGCTCTGATTAAAAAATGGTCTGACTTTGCTGGGAGGCCTCATTCATACACAGGTAACTGCTAGCCCAGCAGTCATTTGATTATCTTTTCAAAAAGACTGCCTATGTATCATATCTCATATGTGTTTGGTCTTGTACTCCACTCCTAGCTGATATAGTGTCAGGTGGAGGACGAACCATTTCTTTGGGTGATTTCAGTGAGGAATGGAAGGCGCATAGACGTGTGATACATAGTGCTCTGCAGCGCTGCACGACTGATTCCCTGCACTCTGTCATAGAAAATCAAGCACGCCATCTCTGTCAGGTATAGGGTAGATACATACACACAGGCTGCATTTCAGTCCAATTTTATATGCCCTTCCCTCCCTAAATTTCCTCCGTCTCACTCACTCGGATGCATGACATTGCTTACGTTGTTTGAGTGCCCACTGCTGGTGGAACCCTTACAATATGTTTAAATGGAACGCACTAAGCCCTTGATCACTTGAATCACTGATTTATTAATTACATTTTTCTATGTATGCTTGGGCTGTTGGAGAAAATTACAAAAATTGCACCAATGAAAATGATAACAATACAATAAACTATAACAGTCAGCTTAAAGTAGCTACAAGCATTATGCGGTTAAATGTCAAACAACTCCAATTCCATGTACTAGAGCTGTGTGGGGTGGGGGTTAAAGCACAATCTGCTGTGATGTCTCAATCGTGTTGCATTGTGGTCTATGGATCTGCCTGAACTGTATTGAGTAGACTCGCTCCCTCTGTTAAAATCAAGGGGTGGAGGAGGGTCTGTCCAAATAAACTTCCCACAACCACTTGATGAAGTTGAATGCACTTCAAAATTGAAATTCACTCAAAAGGGAAGCGATTAAAGTTGCGAGTGTGTCTAAAAGTGGAGTTAAACACGTCACACACTGAGACAAACTTCATCATGACAGACTTCAGTTTCCAGGTCATGGGTCAAGCACAAAAGAGCAAGAAAAGGAGAATGCAGAATTCTGGAAATGAGAAGCACCCTTTGACACGCGCACACACACACACACACACACACGTTGGGTTACTGTATGTTTTATGGGAAATTTCTATAAACATAATGATTTTTTTAGACTGAATATTCTGTATATTCTGTCCCATAGCTCTAACCCTGTACACAACCCTCATAAAAAACTTTCTGCATTTTTACATTAAAAAAGAAATAAATAAATATTTTAGTATGACTTATAATCACCATAAAATGACCACACAAGGTCAAAATTGTCATGTTTTACTAGAGTCATCACAACACAGGGTTTACTCAGACCACGCACATATACTTAACTATCAAATACTGTAACATGGTTATGTTTTAGAAAAAAAATGGGGAAAAAACAATGGGGGAGTGGGTGTCTAAGATAAAAACATTGTAAAATGCTGAATTTTTAACGTTTAAAATAATTATAAATACCACACTTATACAGATTACTCCCTTAAACAAAAACGTTGTGTGGTTTTGAAACAGGTGTTGCGGGACTACAAAGGAAAAGCAGTGGATTTATCTGAAGATTTTACAGTGGCCGCGAGTAATGTCATCACAACACTAACCTTTGGCAAAACTGTAAATGATGTTTAAAAGTTATTCCACACAATATACAATTTATGTGTCCTCAAATTCATGGTCTCACTCCCACTGAAACCTCCTGCTGCCTCTCTTTGAGACAGTATGATAAGAGTTCAGAAGAGTTGCAGAAGCTGCAGGACTGTCTGAATAAGATTGTGTCTCTTTGGGGTTCACCCTGGATCTCAGCACTGGACTCCTTCCCTCTGCTCAGGGTAACACATTTGATTTTAACCCCCAAGTTGCTGGATGTTAGAATTGTTTTGACCCTATTTTGCATTTCATTTGCACCCTTTTTTTCCTCATAGAAATTACCCAACCCCCCATTCTCTCGTCTCATGAAGGAGGTAGCCAGACGTGATGAACTGATAAGGAAACACATAGAGGAGTTTAAGGTAAGAATGAATGCTCAAATGATTAATAAAATGTTAGTTAACTAAAATGTTCTATGTACTAACTGAGTGACATGTGCAGAGAAGTGACCATAAAGAAGGCGACACACTGACTTCTTCACTTCTGCAGTGCCTCGAACCACCACAAGGAGCAGCAAATCAAATGGTGAGCAATGGAACATGTTTTGTTTGGAGATTCCTGGACCAAAGTTTCCCAAACCGGAGAACTCAAAACACTGAAAAAAATAATTCTTTACTCTATGAAAGAGAAACTGAGTTGTTTCTTTTGTTTTTATAAAATGTTGTAAAAAATAAGGGAAGAAATTTATTTTCTTTAACCGATTCAACACAGTAAAGTAAAAAAAAAAAATACAGTATTCTGTTCCATTTAAATGTAAACAAACAGACATCTAGAGGTACGGTCACATTTGAAATTTTGCAGAAAAAATCCAGTCATTTCAATTGAAATCTGCACAATTAGGAGTTTGGCATGGAGGCAAAAAATTTACTACAGGTATAGACCATTTCACAAGATGTAAACAACACTGGTCCAGAAACACTTCCTGTTTCAGTTTGTAACTGTTTTCTTTACTTCACATGTAAATAAAACATCTTAAAGATGTTTGTTTAACTTTTTGATTCAGTTTTAAATGTTCTGTTGGTTGTATTTTATCCCAGCTTTTATGTAGTGTTAAAAAACTGAAACAGGAAGTGCTTCTGGACCAGTGTTGTTTACATCTTGTGAAATGGTCTATATTGAATCCAATATTGTTAACCAAAATATTGCTGTCTCCTATATTTAGACTCTGACAAACACCCATGTACACATGACTATAGTGGATCTGCTAATTGGAGGGACAGAAACTACTGCTGCCTTGCTCAACTGGACTGTGGCCTTTCTTTTACATAGGCCTGAGGTACCTATTGTTTCTGCAGCCTATTTAAATGTCTTCTATCTACAAGCAATCGTGGTCCTAGAGGGTCAATGGCCTGCAGAGTTTAGCTCCAACTTGCCCTAACATACCTGCCTGAAAGTTCCTAGTTATCCTGAAGACCTTGGAAGATTGGAAACCCCTGATCTACAGGTCTATAAACAAACATTCTCAGCACAAAGTATTTCCATTCTCTCACCATCCAGGTTCAGAATAAAGTGTACGAGGAGCTGTGTGGTGTGCTGGATGTGCGGTACCCCCAATACAGCGACCGTCACAGACTGCCGTATCTGTGTGCTCTGATCAATGAGATGTTGAGACTACGACCTGTAGCTCCCCTAGCCGTGCCTCACAGAGCCATACGAAACAGCAGGTGAGCATCAAGTGAGATCAGTACTGTGATTACACATAATTAGGCTGCATCCAAAACCGCATACTTTACTGCTATACAATGGCGAAAACTATGTGACAAAAGTATGTCCGAATTCACAGTACTCAAGGCAAAATGTACCCGAATGACATACTATTTGGGGTGAGATTCTGCATATGATGGACACTTTTATTGTCCCATGAGGGCACAGGAGAGGATTTGTGAATGGCAGTGAAGCAACACCAGAGATTGTCTTATATTAGGGAAATGAGAGGGTCGTTATCTCTTACCATTGGAGGAAGCGTAACGGCTAACTTGGATCACATGAGGCAACTCAGCCTATCGTGTAATGGCAGTGACATCTGAGCCCGCAGTTCAAAATTATGTGACAGTTACTTACAGTTTACCTCAAACAGTTTCATGTGGATTATTAGCGGATTGGTTTTATGAATCTATGTCTGTGAATCTGTGTTAGTAAAGTTACAGTATCCTGGATTGTTTGTGGAATGTGCTTGTGCGGGAAAAGCGTTAATGTCTATTAGCTGCAACGTGCTAGTACAAAAAACTGCATTTAAGATTACACTAAAAACCTAGTTGAAATTTAATACATATTTAATTCATTCAATTTGTGTGTATTTTTTTACCATCATTCATTAAAAAGTGTTGTATCATCATTAGGTCACGCTCAGACACAGGTTACTGGTAACAATAAACGGGAACAGACCAAGAATAACTGAACAGAAGGAGATTAGATACAGATACAAATAAACACTAACGAGGTGAGGACAGATGACACAGATGATGATGACGAAGAACAGGTGGGTGATTGAAGGAGTTAGTTCAGGAGGATTCTGGGAAGTGTAGTGAAGAGGAAGACAGGATGGTGCAGACGACGAGTGTGACTTTACAATTAAAATCTTATCATATCTGGTAAAACCTGAAAGCCAAAGAAAGAAAACATTGGGGTTTTTTTTTTTACTTTCTTTAGTTTAGACAATATACAATATCACTCAATATTACTATTAAAATACTATGGTGTTAAGGAACTTTTCCATGAGTATATGGGCCCTTAAATCACATTCGGTCTATTGTGTGTGCATGAGTGGGAGTATGAGCGAGAGCATGGCTGCAGTTCACTTAACTGCCACCAGTGTCGCTATTAATAAAGGTTTCTGATTGTTCATTTAGCCCTTTAAATGTTCACTCAGATTCTTGAAAGAAATTCATACAGTCCTCTGTTTAGTATTGCAGGCCATTTCATCCCCAAGAATACAATAATCATCCCTAATCTGTATGGTGCCCACCATGATCCAGACGTTTGGAATGATCCATACAGTTTCAAACCAGGTACAAAACCACACAAGTTCTCAGACCTATTATGTAATTTGCATATTTACACACACAATGCAGTGCTCATTAACCGTGACAGTCAATATGATTTATTTTAGAACGCTTTTTGGAAGGTGGTGGCGGGTCTCTTCGTGCCCTGATTCCTTTTGGAGGAGGAGCTCGACTGTGCCTGGGAGAGGCGGTAGCCAAAATGGAGATGTTTCTCTTCACGGCTTATCTGCTGCGAGACTTTCAGTTCCTGCCTGCCAGTAAAGAAGAGCCTCTGCCTGACCTGCGAGGCGTCGCCAGTGTGGTGCTTAAAGTCAAACCATACACAATTATAGCACACCCAAGAGAACAGTAACTGATTATGAATAGTGTCGCGGGAATGAGTTCTAAAACCCACAAGCATTTTTGATCAATTTATATTTTGTTTTTTAATCAACCCGATGTCAAGGGTTTTTTTAATGGGTTAGCACAAGCTCGATATACTTTCCTGTTTTATTATTATTTTTAAGATTTTACGTGACTTGTAAAACAAGTGCAAATGGGACTACAGAGGTTGTCAGAGATATTAAACGCCAAACAGAAATAATTGTCTATTAGCTTTTTCTACAGCCTTCTGTTTGTACAGTAGCCTACTTGTGATCTTTATTAAACTTTTCTAACTTAAAAGTCTGTAGATTTTAAACAAAGAGTTGTTGGAAGCTTAGTGATGGTGACATTGAAGTCTTGTGACCATGGTGATTTGTTTATATTCTAAAACTTCTGGCAAATACATTTTCAAAATTCATAAAAGATGTGTTCATTGTGGTGAAAAATATGTGTAAGTATCATAAACTTTTGTTGGTCACAGAGCATATTATCCAAAAGTCATTGAATGTCAAGGGTGATACTAACTTCAGGGATGGCCTGCAAAAACGCATCTATTACTGTATATATTTTTCCAAGTCATAAAAATAGAGTAATGTGTAGGGCTTATTTCGGATGCATTTGAGCTACAACTTGCTGGGTAACTAGAAACTTATGTGTCAGAATAAATCAAATTCTGGTTACTATGAATTTAACTAATTCTAATAAAGCTGAAGTTAAGCATTTAAATGGCTAATTTCCATGTAGTTTTAAGTCAAATGTTTTATTACATTTAAATTGTTTAAATAATAACATATTTCATTAATTGATGTTATAATATATTTTATCATTTACTTTATAAACACCATGTATTTTTATATACACATGTATTTTATCACACGATAACAAGGCAGTCCATTGTTGACTATATGCTACATTACAACTGGAGTGTATGCTTTTGTCATTTTTATGATTGACTGTAAACATGGTGATGAGTCTCAAGTATTAATAACTTATGTTCGTTTTAATGCATTGTTATTAGCCTATATTGAATTCTTAAAGGTAGACTCGGTATTTTTGTGTTGCACAAAATCTTTTTAAATTAAATTAAATTTTAAATTAACTATTTAAAAATGTGCATTTGGTCAATCTCAAGCAACTTTATTTAATTTTTACAAGGTTTTTAAGCAGAAGATGGATGCATGTTTTCTCATGTTTAAAAGTTTTAATTCTTTTGTTTCCCCACAAGAAAGTGTTTATTTTAAAGAAATTGTTGGTTATATGTTCAAATAATTTATATTTGTGACAAAAAAAAATCACTAGGCCTATAATAAGGCAATGTGTATTTTAATAAAAAACACAAAGCCATTGTTTTCATTTTAAAGAAGGCCGAAGCCTCAAGTTTATATATTTTTTTTAATAATTTCATTTATTAAACAATTGTATATAGCCTGATGGACCTGGACTGAAAAACGGGTGAAAACCAGGGGACATGACAAACTTCTTTTTTTACATTTTTTTTTAATTTTAATTTTTTTTTATTTATTCAAAGCATAGATTGGATATACAGGCACACAACAATGCTAAAAAGTTACGATTTCTGAAAGATTTTAATCATTATATTTCATAGTAAAATTTAGAGATAGAGAGAATACATGCAGAAAATGCTATATTTTTAGTTCTAGGTAGTTGTTATTAAAATTTTTAATTATACACTTTAAACGTGTAGTCTGCTTAATCTGCAGGACATTTCCATGCATGTACACATGTCCTGGGGACAGTAATGTCACTCTTTCGGTGGAATAACTCATACAGCATCGCACCAAAACGATTATATCATTTGATTTTTCATGATTTTTCATATTCCATGAGATAAATTGAGTGCTGTAACCCGGATTTCTATTATGTTTTTGATCTCAACATTGGTGCTGTTTCTCTCTCGTCCTCTAGATGGTAGAACACACACTCCACCCGCTAAGCGCAGAAGTGGACACACTTCCTGTGCTCGGCTCGCTCGGGTTGTTGATGATAAACAGCGAGCACGTATGCTGAACGCAATCTTTGACATTTTGCCACAGAACCGAATGACAACTAATTTGATTTAAATCTTAATTCAGTATCTTGACGTTTTGCAGTTTGCCTCAATAAAATACTTCAATACTGCTCAGGTATGGCGTGACAATCCTATTTGCTACAATACAGTAGAGTAGATTTCAGTCATTAGTAAATGTGTTAGTTAGTAACAGATTTATATACAGCATTTTTTTTTACCAGTAAGTGTGTTACTTTGTCTAGTTTGTATATCATGCAAATGTACTGTGCTTTATCTTTGTATTTTATACTAATATTTGTTGTGTACACTTAAAAGTGCACTAATTTCATTTTGATTTATGTGTTCAAAGGGCACTGATGGATTTTATAAAAGAGTTTACCACAGTCATGACATTAATGATGTTGTCTGTCTCATCACTACATGCTGCTTATCAGCTATTCAAGGTAAACGTCCATTCAGTATATTGAATCCTGTGATTATGCATATTATCAGTGAGATGCATGTGGTTAGGCTAGCCAGCTGATAACGTAGCAGCTGTGTCTCTGTCGTGTAACATGGAAAATGCAGGGGTGCACATTAAATCCACAACAATTTGATCTGGTTCTTACAGAGTACTATATCTACACTGTAAAATGGTTGGTACTCAAATGAGCCCTATCACACTTGGATATTGTGCTCATTTTAATGTTTTCAGTGCTCATAAAAAAAACTATTCATTCATGAGCACTGCGCACCAGCTTATGTGCAGCTCATGATACTATAAGCTGGCTAACGTTAGTCAATGATATGTATGTAACTCGTAAACCACCACAGCATGAGTTAAGGCTAACTAAGGTTAAGTCATGACTCGTGAGTTAGCTAACGTTCGACAGATAACGTTAAAAAAGCTAGTGCAATCTGCTTGCTACCGTTAGCTAGATCTAGCAGCTGTGCACTTTGGTGGTGCTGGGCCAACCAAGGCATCTTAGCTCTGTTCAGTTTGTTCGTGCTAGGTTAGTAGCTAACGTTCATGTTAGCTAGTAGCTACTATAGATAGCGGTGTTCTGCAGCCGTAAACTTGCTACAATTCAAGCCAACATTAGATAATAACTAACGTTAGCTACATACAGCTGTCTATGCACCAGTAGCTAGCTAACGTTAACGAACTAACACGAACAAACTGCACGGAGAGCTCAAGCTACACAACACACTACCCAAACATGAAATTAATTTAACCAACGTTAGTACTTACTTGTTTTTGTCTCCTTCACGGGTGACAATGAGGTGCCTTCCTTTCAGATGCTCCCACATTGCTGTTGTGCTGGTGTGGTATGCCAACTCCATTTGGCAAAGAGTGCAAAAAACGACACCTTTTCGTTTGGGACTAAATTTGAAGTAATCCCATACCTTCAATGATTTAGGGTGATTTTTTTTCTTTTTGGGGGGGCTTTTATTGGTTGCTGTTTCGTCCTCTATTCCGTAATGTTTCGGTGTGGCGAGCTGTACATCCGAGAACGGTGCAAAAACAAACTTTGCGTCGACCCAAAAATATGACGTCGACGAAATTTTGACGTTGACGCGTCGACATCATCGACGCATCGCTACAGGCCTAGTGGTTGCACTGTTATAACTTTTCTTTCTCTGTTTGCAGGATCACAGAGCTTCATCGTTGGGCTTTCTCCTGATTGGCTGCTCATCTGCCCTTTCATTCTTTTCTCCCAGTAACCAAATTATCATGTCACTCCAGAATGATCTAGAATGGGCAGGTGAATCACTCGGACCTGTGCTTTCTACTTTTGATTTCTTGTGGCTTAGTGACGACCACATGACAGCCCGTATCCTACTGATTGGCTCCACTTTATTCATAATGCTCTCTGATTGGCTAACACCAGATGGGTTGATCATTATGTCACGCTGCTTGGCCTTTTCCACCCTTTCCTGTTCACTGACAGTGTGCGCGTTTGCTGAAAATGCAGCAGGGGCGGTAGGGAGTGTTGCCCTCAGTCTCCCTTTATTTGTTTCCCCAAGGAGCAGATCTAGATCTTTGGGTCCCCTCGTGATACCCACAGAAGGACTCCTCAACTGGATCTTTAAGGTCATCATGGCATTAGGTTGCTGGACCACCAGGAAGGGCCTTACTAAATACCTGCTTGATTTGAAAGGCTGGGACTAGGGGACTTACTCTCAGGTTATTAGCAGGTATATGTACAGTGTTTTACTGTTGCACATAAAAGCCTTCTGTCTTATAAGCTAACAACATTATAGTGTATTATATTACAGAAACTGGAGTTTGTTTACATCTATTTGCATAATAGAGTTTATTTATAACCTATTAAATCCATTACAGTGAGATTGAGAGCTTCTAAAATTCCTGAGCAATGAATACATTGTTTAGCATCATCATCAACAATGTAATCTTTTATAAAGAAAGAATGGGACTCTGTTTAAGTCAGTGTTGCCATGTACCAAGAAACTTTGGTAAATTTAAAGTAAATTTACTTATTGATTTAGATGTATTTTTGTACAGTATACAAAACATTTTTTTTTCTTTTGTAAAATGATATAATTGCAAAGATGTTTTCTGAATGTCAAAAATGCAACTTAACTTAGTTTAATGTGTGTTTTTACAGATTGCTAAAAGGCGATGAAAAAATAAGCATGAATGTACATAGAATTACTTGTATTGACTGAGGACATGTAAATTTAAACAATGAAGCACAAAAAAGAAACAGTGTATGCTGTTACTATATACACTCACGACTCACCTAAAAGATTTTTAGTAACACCATACTAAAACTGTGTTTGACCCCCTTTCGCCTTCAGAACTGCCTTAATTCTACATGGCATTGATTTAACAAGTTGCTGAAAGCATTCTTTAGAAATGTTGGCCCATATTGATAGGATAGCATCTTGCAGTTGATGGAGATTTGTGGGATGCACATCCAGGGCACGAAGCAAAGATGCTCTATTGACTGTGGGGACCATTTTAGTACAGTGAACTCATTGTCATGTTCAAGAAACCAATTTGAAATGATTCGAGCTTTGTGACATGGTGCATTATCCTGCTGGAAGTATTGCCATCAAAGGATGGGTACATGGTGGCCATAAAGGGATGGACATGGTCAGAAACAATGCTCAGGTAGGCCGTGGCATTTAAACGATGCCCAATTGGCACTAAGGGGCCTAAAGTGTGTCAAGAAAACATCCTCCACACCATTACACCACCACCACCAGCCTGCACAGTGGTAACAAGGCATGATGGATCCATATTCTCATTCTGTTTTCGCCAAATTCTGACTCTACCATCTTAGTGTCTCAACAGAAATCGAGACTCATCAGACCAGGCAACATTTTTCCAGTCTTTAACAGTTCAATTTTGGTGAGCTCTTGCAAATTGTAGCCTCTTTTTCCTGTTTGTGGTGGAGATGAGTGGTACCCGGTGGGGTCTTCTGCTGTTGTAGCCCATCCGCCTCAAGGTTGTGCGTGTTGTGTAACGAGTGGTTATTTCAGTCAAAGTCTATAATTTTTATGTTAGGTTTATTTTAATAGATAGAGACAGAATATCAACCAAAAATCCAGAAAAACACATTATATAAAGGTTGTAAATTGATTTGTGAACTGTAAACAGATTTGTTATGTGCCCATGTGTAACACGAAGTTCTGTCATTTTAAGATAGTACTCTTAATGTCAGCTCGTTGTGTGTATAAAAGACACCTGTCCACAGAATCTGTATCTTCCATTACAACGTCTCCACCACCATGGGCAAGACTAAAGAGCTGTCAAACTTCAGGGACCAGATTGTAGACCTACACAAGACTGAAATGGGCTACAAGACCATCTGCAAGAAGCTTGGTGAAAAGGAGACAACTGTTGGTGGCATTTTTCGGAAATGGAAGAAATACAAAATAACCATCAATCACCCTCGGTCAGTAGCTCCATGCAAGATCTCGCCTCATGGGGTACGTTTGATAATAAGAAAGGTGAGGAATCAGCCCAGAACTACACTGGAGGAGCTTCTTGATGATCTCAAGGCAGTTGGGACCACAGTCACCAAGCAAACCATTGGTAACACACTACGCCGCAATTTATTGAAATCCAGCAGCACCCGCAAGGTCCCCCCGCTCAAGAAGGCACATATAGAAGTCCTTTTAAAGTTTAACAACAATCATCTAATAATTCAGACAGGGCTTGGGAGAAAGTGCTGTGGTCAGATGAGCTCTTTGGCATCCACTCGCCGTGTTTGGAGGAAGAGAAATGCTGACTATGACCCCAAGAACACCATCCCTACTGTCAAGAACGGAGGTGGAAACATTATGCTCTTGGGCTGTGTCTCTGCTAAGGGTACAGGACGACTGTACTTGACAAGGGTACTTGACGTATTGAGTGGCCAATGGATGGGGCCATGTACCATCAGATGTTGGACAAGAAACTCCATCCTTCAGCCAGAACACTGAAGATGGGTCTTCCAGCACGACAATGACCCAAAACATACTACCAAGGCAACAAAGGAGTGGCTCAAGAAGAAGCACATTAAGGCCATTATTGACCAAACTTGATTAATTCAGGTGTGTCTGATTATTGTTGCCGTGACTACTGAGGTCAGGCACACCTGAATTAATCAATTTGTCCAATAATCAACATGACATCATGACTTTTGCGTAAACATACATGCCAATTTCGAGTCAAGTGGCGTGTTATCTCTACGCATTTTGAGCTATCCGTGTGTATCCGCGTGTATGCGTGTATGTCTACGCCATTAACGTCCGAGTGATTCTGCGTGTCTGTACACGCCGTCAAATGTCCGTGCGAAATGAAGTAAAATATAGATCTACATCTGGGGAGCGATCTTTTTTTTCCTAGGATGGCAAGGGAACAGTCATAAATGCCATTAACCCCAGTGACGGTTAGGTTTAGGGACGGGGTTGAGGTAAGTCATATATTTATATATACAGTAATAACGTTAAGTCAACGGCGTTCATAAACACGCTGAAAAGCGATTATGCGTCTTGATAGCACGCCAAAAATGGAAATACGAATTGGCGTGTCATTCACACGCTACTTCACGAGATCAGTCTGCAATAATGGCAGACAGGAAACAAGGAGCTGGCTTAAGTTCAGGAATTAGTGCATCTGTGCATAAAGCCAATTAAACACACCTGAATACTGGCTCATTATTGGCTGACGCTGTTCACGAGATTACCACGACACATACGTGTGATGCTGACTTATCACACGTAGCTGGCCAATAATGAGCCGACGTTCTGACTTAGAACCTTGAAGCGCTGCACTGTGTACACTACTAATGTAGGGAATAGGCAATGAGAGTATAGGAAACAATTTGGCACACTGCCAGATTTATTTCAGCTGATGTAGTGCGCCCTCTAGTGTTTCATGGTCTAAAATGCAGCTGAATTGTATTGAATTCCACAGAGCTGACCTTAACAAGCAATATTTGTTTTTACTATCAAATGTTTTGTTGGGCTATTTCCATTTGTAAACCATTCAACCATCTAGATCAGTGGTCACCCCGGTCCTCATGTCCCAGTTAAATCTAATCATAACCACAGTATTCTGCTGACAGGCACAAAATATCATCATCAGAACTTAATAAACTTCTTAAATCTTGCTGTGGTGAAGCTATAGATAGAAAAACTACGGTTGATTCTGCATGATTCGTTGCCTTAGAATCCATAAATGGTTGACACTTTGAATATAGCAACATCAGAACGCTTTGTTGAGCATCTGACTTCCTGTTCTTTCTCTCACCAATCTCTATCAGCTTCACCCCACCACTGCAGTGCACTACACATATGCGATGAGCGTTCTCAAACACTCCTGAGAAGAGAGAGGAGGGGGGAGGAGAGGAATGGATAATGAGAGAGGAGGAGGGAAAGGAAGGCAGGAATAGCAGGTTGGACAGATGTGCGGTGTCAAGAGCTAGTGTTGCCATTAAAAACCCCGAAACACTGGTGAACAGGCACAAGCGGTCCTGCAGAATCGCCATGTAGAGCTTCAGAGTGGAAGAATGGGAATGCGGTAACTGCAGTTGTGGAGGATCAACCTCAGCAGATGGTGAGACTCTGCAAAACAATGGGAATAGCATCATTCTAAGGAGCTTGACAACATGGGAATTCCATCCGCATCCATACAGGATTTGTTGTGGTGGCTTTGCTGCTGGAGCTGCGGTTTAGTAACACTTGTCTGATTGTATTGTAGTGTGGGAAGAGCAGAGAGATGCTGTGAAGCAATCGCATTTATTTCCAGCCACTGTTATAACACCCGCATATCAGGAAACATGTATGCCTTCTATTCTTTGCTGGTGTACATCTTCTACACCGTCTTTAAAAAGGAGGAGGAGGAGACAGCGCTCGAGGGGGCGTATGGAGAATCCCCAGAGGTATGTGTGGCGATAGACGTGCTAATACATGTATTCCTTATTGTCCTCTGTACAATATATGCAAACAAGAAAAATCGAATGATTGATTATAATATGAATCAATATAGAAACTATAGGTAATTTCATTCAGGTGATAATTCGATTATGCACTCATGCACACTCACAGTCACCTATCGTATGTCCTCGGTGGTGGCTTTAACACCTTCCAATAATCACATTCGTCTCCCTCTGTAACTGACAGGAGCCTGGCCATGTTTCCATGGAAACAAAGAGCAAGGGGAAGAGTAGCCACACCCCCAGGTTGGGCAAAAGAGGGTGTGCAAGACTGAGTGATTCAAGTAAGAATGTTTTGCTGCGTGATGTTCTAAATACAATGAAGTGCTGCTCCACATAATCAGCATTCAACCATAATCACCTACATATTCCAGGCAGCAGCAGTGAGAGTGATGGGGCGTCTCTCAGTGATGAAGATGATGAGTTTGATGAAGGTCATGGATTACCTGCCAAAACACCATTAACAGCTTTCCTGTCTTTCAAGCAAGAGGCAGAAAAGAGAAGAGCTACTAATTCTCCAACAGAACCTAGTGAAAAGGTGAAGACCTTCTAACTAAATTCACATGTACCTTGTTTAATAGTAGTGGTGATTTGGTGGTGGTAGTATTTCAGCAGACCCTTAGCTCTACAGTATGGCACGTCCTGATTTTGCTGAGTTAGAATAATATGCAATTTGATGTTTGATTAACAAAGTTCGGGAGGAGCACGTTCAGATAATTAACACGGGTGGAGAACACTCAGCAATCAATGATAAGAGGTGTATATATTCAGAAGTCTCAACTCAATCCATTGACAGTTTTGCAGAATCCCTCCACCATCCCTTCTCCACTCTTCTAGTGGAGTCTAACCATTTACATACGGAGGGAAGTTTTTTGGGTTTGGACCGAATTCCGAGCTCGGAGCCCTCCCCCCGGGTAGCATGCCAACTTAACTCCCTCTAATTGTATGTGAAATGTCTGAGTCAACATATTTTGTTGATCCTGGAACAACATTCCTGTTTGAAAATGTAATCAAAACCATATCCCTACCCCTAAACCTAAAACCACTAACCCTACCCTTAAGTTACCCCTAAAATCAGAGGGGAATGATAGATGGATAACACTGATGTAGAAGCACCAAGCCCTAGTTGTAAGCCTAAAATCAAGCGTATCATAAGTTCTGGCTGGTCACATTAGTCAAGCTTGCATCAGCTGATTCTCACGTCAATTTATAGTAATACGTCGCCGATCACAACATCCATATGTAAGCTCCTAAGAAGTTTCTCGGGGGCAAATTACCCTCCTCCATCCCCAGCTCCTCCTCTTGTCCAGTCAGGATTTTTCTCCAATTATGGTGTATATTAAAATGGTGACATTAATGATATCTGATATCTCTCCCTGCTCTTATCCACCCTAGGCTGCATGGATGTGAAGGGAGTTCTCGCCAAGAACAAAACCATACCGCCAATCCAAACTGTATGCTATTTGTCAATAGTGGTGCTGATTTGTTCTATGATTATGAATAATACTTCAAATTTGGTTATTACTTTTCAAAATGAGCAAAATTGATCAAATTGGCTTAAAAAGACTTACATTGGCCCCTAGTCAAACTTAAGGAGCTCATTAGACCTTAGTCAGGGTAGATGCCGCATTTAATTAAAAGGCTGGAATGGATGGATGTAAAGTCTGTTACTACTTACATTAAAGTGCAGCCTATTAAACATACTGTACTGTACATCCTCATTTTCATTAGTGAAAAATTAAACAAAATTGCTGTTCTTTTTTCTGTCCTCCATCACCAAGCATTGTTATTTTTAAATAATTTGTATAGCATAATGTAATATAATAAATATCATATTTTAGTATAATTGGGTTCCTATCATAGGTTTTATTGATAATTTGAATTTGTTTTTATTTTCTGACTTTAGTTTTTTTGTTGTTGTGTTTTGTCAATTTTAATAGTTTGAATTTTTTTAATGTCTTTAGAGTTGACATTAATTTTATTTCAGCTTTTGTTTTACCTCCACAAAACCTTAACATAACTTTTTTCCTGGATGCATCTGTCACATTTTCTGAAAGAAAGTGTAGAACTGTAATGAAAATATAGAAATGAAAGTGCACATTTATTTTTAAAAAGTTGAGTAAATATGAAATGTGTATTTTCCAGGTGACAGAGTCTCCATTGCTGTCTGTGATGTCCCACCTCCTGAGCTTCCTGGAGCAATATTCCCACCTGCAACAGCTGCAGCAGCAGGCTGATCAGTACCGTCTGCAGCTCCGCAGACACCGTGCCCAGCACCGGCGGAAGATGAAGGCCCTGCGTACCTCCTACCGCCAGCGCCTCAGAGACAAGAACAGTGTGATTAACAACCTGGAGGAAGTGATCGCTCAGCAGCCGAGCCCATCACCTGAAAATGAGGGTGAGACCTTTTGAACCTAAATCAATCACAGAATCTCAGTGTGAAGACTTTAGCATTGGATAATGATGAGTTTAATATTAGATCCCTCTCTTTATGTACTGTACCTTGACATTCATTGATATTTTAGATATTTTAGAACTCAGAACCTGATTTCATCAAATACAACATTCCATTCAACCAATCAGATTTTAGGGAAAAGTTTACAATTTATGTCAAGTTTAGGCTTACAACCAGGGTTATGTGCTTTTACAGCACCTACCTATCATTTCCCCCTGATTTTGGGGGTAAATTATGGGTAGGATTAGGTTTCGGGCTAGGGATATGGTTACGACCAACTTTTCAGACAGAAATGTTGTTCCAGAATCAACAAATGATGTTATATACCCATCTGTTTCTGTCTTTGCTGTTTGGTCTGTCTGAACGATTCAGTCTTTACATTAAAAGAATGTTTCTGAATATTTGAAGTTACATTCTATACATGTCATCCCATTTTTTTTATTATTGTTACATTATATAGCTTTTCCCAGCTAATAGGAAACTTTCTGGCAAGGTTTTTCAAAGTTATGTGCAAATGTTCTTTCAGTAATATTACAGTTTTTTTTTTTTTTTTAATTAATATAATTGAAGCCACATTTTCAAAACTCTTCATGCAGTCTGCATTACCAAGATGAATCTAGGAATCCAGTCACTCATTCTAAACATTGCTTTAAAAACATGCATTTTATTCATAACACACTGATCTTAAAAACACTAACAACAGGGAGCATTACATAAATCATGAACTTTTATTTTTAAAGTTTGAATTATTATTTTTCACATAATGATAAGAATAAGATCTGTACTGAATCTTCAAATGAACCAAATTAGGTGATGTTCAATGTATATTATGAAACAATTCAAGTGTTTTTGACCTTGGATGCATGTAATCCTATTGTAGGAGACCTCCAAAGCAATATTAGGAACCTTTAATAATAGCACAATAGGGGCACTCTAAGTGTTTGTTTTGTGAATCTGGCCCCAGATGATGTCAATGTTTGTTTTTGGATTCAGAATTTAGTTTGACGTCAATGAGGGAAGAGATGATGACCTGTTCACATCATGTGGACAGTTTTAAATTGAACTTTAATTAAATGAGAATACTGGGAAAAAGTGCCAAAAATAGCAGATTGATGGTTTTAGAAACCGCACCTGGCAGTGACATCAGAGCTATATGGGGCATCTGGACTCTCTGGCGGTCTGTTTCTCCTCAGACAAACATTGCGTGTGTTTAAAATGCACGTCTCTTGCACTAATTCAATGTCAGATGTTCTTGGCTTTGTGGTCTACTTGCACATGATCAGGATACTAGAATATAATGAGTTATATTAAGCCCAAATGTGTTTTAAAAAAGGCGGTCTATACTACCTGGCTAAAGCGATCCATTCTTTTTCATCTCTTGCGCATTCTGCATAATTACATCATGGCAATCTTGTTTCTTGAGAGGTAGCCGACAGAGCAAATGTAAAACATCCCTCCCAAAAAGAACCACCATTGTTAAAATTTCTACTAATGAAATATATGTCAAATGTATTTCAATCAAATGAGAAAAATAGGTAGTTATAGCTATATACCAGCAATCTGGGCTATGCTAACCCACCAAACCTTGAGCCCTTCGTCATGACACCTACATGCAGACATTTTCAATGAATCCATTAGCCACATGAAATACAGATACAGTATGAATCATATTAATCAGATGGCTAATTGACATGGGAATACATGTGTTTGTTTCTCATGAGACATCAATACCTTTTATTAGCATGTAGTAAAAATACCCATTTGCCTGGCTGGTACATCTACAGCACTTGGCATGTTTCTCCGTGGCTCACAAAGATGAATAAAACATTGTGAGAGCTGCTTCTCTTACAAATGCAAGTGCACTTACAAACTAGCACAGCTGAACTTCACGTGCACTGCTGTAAGATACTATATAAATCCATTGTACAGCCGAGATGAAATTCAGCTTCTAACAACAAAAACATAAAATGAGTCCCATGATTTATGTTTTATTTTATGTGAGGAGGAGAACGATAAAAAAAGCACAGCTAGGAAATTGGTTTCAAGGAGTATCGGTCAATTGTACAGAAATATTGACCAAAAAATCATTCAGAATCAAATATCCCAGCCAACATTTCTTGGTGGGGCTAATTTAGGCTGGGCTTGAGTTCCATGTGTTACATGTCTGCCCATATCTGAATTGGCCCATAGCTCATACTCCCTACATTAATCCCACCATGAAATGTTGTCTTGAATTTGTTATCTGAAAAGAAAGTTATATTTGCATTTTTTGTTCAAGCCTGTTCCTCCATCACGTTTGTTCCACATCACGTTTGCGGTTGCGTCCCTGTGTGTCTGCATTCATCCTTCCCACCAATAGACTTGCTCCAACCGAGACTGGAAGCTCACATTTGACGCCGCCTGCCTTAGTAATTAGTGTACAGCACAGGAAAAGACAGCAACTCTGACTCGGCATATCAATAATAAATGGCGGGAATCTAAATAAAATGTTGCAGAGCAGTTAGGCTGCCAGGCACGTTGCACAAGTCTTTGAGTTCAAAACTCGGGTCTTGAGTCTTAAGCTAACCCAGAGGAAGTAGTGTGGCTCATAGGCTGTTTAATCGAGTTTTCAGTTATGAAATTAGAACAGCACTATAGGGGATTATCACGCTTCCGGGTTTCATGGGCGGGATTTGTCCACTTTGTGCATGTCCACTTCCGACGTAGTTCAACCATGCCTGAGACGAATGCATATTTATCAGTCCCTCCAGAAAAACGCGATTATGCGATCGCTGAATTCAATGCAAAATCAGCCAAAGTCCGCATATTTTTGCGAGGGCCGCATTTTTTCAAATACGCCGCACTTTCGCCGCATAAATTGCCGATTTCCGTGCAAAATATGCGGGGTTTGCATAATTTCATAATCCTCGCATTTTCGTTGCAAAAAAGTCACATGTATCTTAGCAGAAAGTTGAAAAATGTTGCGTTTGCTACACACAAGAGCAGCCATTTCCTCCTGTTTCCATGGGAACGTTATGAAGTGACGCAATTACGCGACGCCAGACAGACTCACGGAGGCGATTGACATATATACAGTATAACTGTCTGTCACACGTTCTGCCGCCACATCGTTACTTAATAAAAAACATAAGATAAAAGAAGTATCATCAAACAGAAATTACCCGCACACATGGGGTGTTCGAGGCGCACATATAACACTGCAGAGAGTTCAACAGGGAGCGCGCAGCTCTAAAAGGGGCCACACCTTATTTACACTCGTTACAGTCTGAAATAAAACAAGATGAGAAATTAAATATTCCCAGCACTTTCTATGATGTAGTATGCTTGCTTATCAAAGGAAGTAATAAGAAATGACTCTTACATTAGCCTAGTGAGAACAGGGTGTTGGGGGAATCACTTTTTTTCTCTTTTTCATCAAACCGCAATTTTTGCGAGTTCCCTCAATTTTTGCAAATTCCTGCAATTTCATCGCATAAAATTGCATAAATTTACGGTATGATGCTGGCAACCACAGCTGCCAGTAGTTTACCACGTAATCAATCAATTTTTGCCCGCAACAATCACAAAAAAATGGCGTTTTTCTGGAAGGACTGAATACTATTATGGTAAATGTTATATATAAATCGCACATTTTTTCACAAATTTTTGGAAATTACCACCACAAAATCAGTCATTTTGATCGCAAAAATCACACAAAAAAATCGTGAAATCCTGGAGGGACTGATTTATGTCACTACTCTGTTCCACTTTGTAAATCTAACCAACAACGCCAACCCTACGTAAGTTTTCATGGATTCCCGACTGAATTGAGTATAAGGAAGAAGTGAATTAAAACTTTAAAATAAAACAAGGTAGCATGTTTGTTTGCAGCCGGCACTTTAGTGAATCAGACTAATTTACCAGGGATGCTGTATAAATAAACTTAGTGTAGTCCTTCATCAGTTTGCCAGCGAGATCGGTGATTCAACGGAAGTGGCAGTGCACAAAGATCACTGAATCCGGAAGTACTACGTATCAGCGTGATAATCCCCTATTGTAACAAATCCACTGGGAGGTGAGTTTAACGACCCATATGCAGCTTAATTTACCAAACACAATCCAATACAAAATAAACAAAGAATAAACAAAGACTTGTCTTGCCAAGTGGCGGTTACGCAAACAAAGCCAGACTAGAGACAATAGGAGCATAAGGGATATACTATATACTAAGGACTAATGACAATATTTAGAAAATGTACTCTTGATACTCAAGTAATTTTAAAAACAAGTACTTCTGTAGTTTTACTTAAGTAGACATCTGACTGTCGTACTTTTACTTGTACTTGAGTAAAATTTTGCTAGGGGTATCTGTACTTTTACTCAAGTAATAAAGCTGTGTACTCTGTCCGCCTCTGCCAACATGTTTAGCAGATGAGACCTGAGACCCCCCTGTAATTTATATAGGCTACCACTGACATGCTGTCGGACCAGGACATGGTGCCCCTTGAGTTCTGACTGGAACTCATTGAAGTCCAGAAGTACTGCCATCATTACCAGGCAGTTGATATGCCAATTCGTCATCGGTTCCGCCCAGGAGACCATATTCCTTCTGGATACTAGGCCCAGTTCTACCCCCAAATGATACAGATGGGACCATTTCCAGGGGACCAGGGATTTGGCAAAACCATGGTTCACCCTGAGAATGAGGTGGCCTTCGCACCACACTTGAGATGGGACGTGAGCCCTTCAGTGTTGTAGTGACTGAATATGTAACAGACCCAAGGGAACTACTGAGGAGGGTGCTGCAATGAGGCCCAGCAGCTTCTGGAACATTTTCAGGGGAAAGATGCCGCTAGCCTCTGAATTTTTAGAGAGTGCTCCAGCGGAATCTAGGCCCGCATTTGGGCCAAGTCCAAGACTTTTCAAGTGGCTGAGGAGCTAAGATATGTGCGTGCATAGTTTTTTCTTCGATTGGGCTAAGAGAAACCAATCATCGAGGTAGTTCAGGATGAGTACTCCCAACTGTCTCACATGGGAGAGGGCCGCATCCAGACATTTTGTAAAAGTCAAGGAGCTAGGACAGTCTGAATGGTAGGATTGTATTTTGGTAAGCCACTCATGCCTTTCAAAGCTTCTTTTGAAATTCCATTCTTAACGGTCATGCCATGTGTGTGTTTGTGTGTAGGTGAGTACATGCTACCTGCATCATCTCCGGTTGGGTTGCATAAGTTGGTTCAATCTCTGTGCGGGCTGCAGGGAGAGAGGAGTCAACTGAGAGGAGAGCTGCGATCGCTTCATTCACAGCTTGAGCAGAGAGAACGAGATCGCCACACTAAAGTGCAGGCCTTCCAACAGCAGGTGATTGATTCTACATTCAATCCACAACATGTATTCATGCAATCAGTGATGCTTTCACATTCAGGGTATTTAATAGCATATCTCCACTTATTCCTCTTTCTACCTCACCAATGATCATGAAAGCATCTCTTTTTTACATTTATCCAGACAGTAAGTCTGCATATTTCATCCATTCAGCTACCTCTCCATCAGTTTATTCAGTGTCATCCACCCTCTTCACTCATTTTTCTTTTCAGACTGGCTATACTGACACAATTGATTTTTTCCCTGTAGATTGATGAGCTGAAGAGCTGTATTGAGGAAAGAGAAGAGGAGCTGTCCAAACTCAGAGTTACATCAGTAAGCTTTTGGAAGAATCTGTTCCAGTGCTCTGCATTTGAAACTGAGCACATTAAAACCAGGCCAGGCAGCCTCAAAATGATTCGTGACCAAGAGCTAATCTAGGTTGTTCCATCAGACACTTTTTTTTTCCAGGTCAGCTGTGACTTTTTTCTGTTTTTTTTTTCTTTCACCAGGGAGTAACAGACTCTGAAAAACGAGTGCTTTGCTTATCAGCAGAGAATGAGAGTTTGAAACACAGCCTCACAGTGACGCAGGGTCTTCTGCAGCAACTGTCGGTCATCCCATCCCAGTCCAGCTCTGTGCTCATCAAGGTGAGAATGTCTTTTAATGCATTGGGTACAGTAACTGATGATAACGAAACTCATATGACACTCCTGACTGTTTTTCCTTTTCAGTATGCTTCACCACTGTGGCCCATAGACATATGCTATCATTCACTAACCATTCATTTTACATATTTGTAAAATCTGCAAGCAAATTTTCTACATTTAAATTTTTGAACTGAAACCACACAAAAGCAAAAAATATACTTTGAAATGGTCTTTGAAATGATTTGATTAGCGTTTTTGTTGTTGTTGTTGTTGTTGTTTTTAAGGAGCCGTATGCAAGATTGTGGCCAAAACTGGTACTGCAGTGTCCGGTGCAATCCAGTATATATATATATATATATATATATATATATATATATATATATATATATATATATATATATATTAGGGCTGTGCAAAAATTAATTGTGATTAATTGCATCCAAAATAAAAGTCTGTGTTTACATAATATGTTTGTGTGTGCTGTATATAATTATTTTGTATATATAAATACCTATGCATGCATGTATATATTTAAGAATTATTTGCGATTAAATTCTGTATATATATATATAAATACATAATCTATATTATATAAATATAAATATTTATATATGAATAACACATTTTCTTAAATATATACATGCATGTGTGTGTATTTATATATACAAAATAATTATATACAGCACACACAAATATATTATGTAAACAAAGACTTTTATTTTGGATGTGATTAATCGTAATTAATTTTTGCACAGCCCTATTATATATATATATATATATATATATATATATATATATATAATAAAATGGCTCAAAATAGCCCCACACTAACACTGTAACATTAATGAGGGTCCTACATGCAAACCTTAGTGATATTGATATTAACTAGTTAGCGATATTAACTTTTTATGATTTTTATTTTTCATTACTCTATGCCCTAGATACTAACTAGCGTTATACGCTAAACAGTTTTTAGAGATAAAACTCTTTACATTCGATTATCATGAAAACTAATCTCAAAGAACGGTCGACTAGGTACCGATGTGTTATTAGACCAAAGGTTCATTTTGCACCGGAGTTTTCCTTTAAGGCAGTTCTGAAGGCGAAAGGGGGTCAAACACAGTATTAGTATGGTGTTCCTAATAATCCTTTAGGTGAGTGTATTGTTCTATACTATAGGGTGCTTGTTGTTGAGTATGTACATAGAACTCAACATTTGACACACAAACCCGAACAGTGACAATCAATAAATGTAAAAATACAAGCTCTTAACATCAATGATAAAACAACATAAGTCAGCAAACAGAAAAACAATAATCCTATAATGGTGCAATGCATGTTGGGAACTCCCATAACTTTTTTAATACAATGTTCAGACGACTGCTTGACTAGGAAGAACACATTCAGGGGAATTTTGTTGGTTTGACATAGGTTCACTTTCAAGTATTGCACATTTTAAAAAGATTTCAAAAATATGTCGATTTTTTTTTACAGTATAATGAATTAAATAACAAAGTGATTCTATAAAAGTATATATTTTTTCTATTATTACTTACTATTTTAAATCAAATACAAAATGCAGCCTGTGAGGTGCAGTTGTATATGGACATAGCTTGGACATCATTATGTGTATATGCACCAATTATATGAATTATTAGTTTACTATTGTACCCTATAGGAAAATGAGAACTTGCGCAGTCGTGTTCTGCAGCTGGAAAGTTCACTGCAGCTGCGGGCAGAGCAGCTGTCAACTCTGGAGCACCAGAAAGAGCAGAGCGAATGGAGGAAGGCAGAAGAGCTCAGGAGACGAGAGGAGAGTTTGAGAGATCTGCAGCTTGAACTAGACAAAGAACGCAACAAGGAGCCTGTGGTTAAAGTAAGAAAAATGCAAGAATATGAACTTAAAACCTACAAAAAGCCACATAAACTTGATCAAATTGATTTTTTTTACAGATACACACACATACAGAATATATACAGTATATATATATATATATATATATATATATACTGTATATATATATGAAGAGTTCAGATGCAAAAGCCTCTAAATGCCATTTGAAATTTTCTTCTTTAATGATGATTTTTATCAAACTTGTATATTTAAGTTCACTAATTTCACTTAAATAACAATTAATAGGTAATTATCATTGCCATTTAAGTGAAATCACTGAACTTAAATATACAAGCTTGATAAAAAATATCATTCTAGAAGAAAATTTCAAATGGCACTTAGAGGCTTTTGCATCTGAACTCTTCATATATATATATATATATATATTAGGGCTGTCAAACGATTAATCGTGATTAATCGCATCCAAAATAAAAGTTTGTGTTTATATAATATATGTGGGTGTACTGTGTATAATTATTTTATATATATATATATATATATATATAAATACACACACATGCTTGTATATATTTAAGAAATATTTTCATGTATATACTGTATATAGATTCACATATAATTTATATTATATATAAATATTTTATATATAAATAATATTTTTTCCTTAATTTTACATGTGTGTGTGTGTGTATTTATATATGTACAAAATAATTATATGCAGTGCACCCACATATATTATGTAAACATAAACTTTTATTTTGGATGCGGTTAATCACGATTAATCGTTTGACAGCCCTAATATATATGTAAGTATTTAGTGTATTCCAAGAAAACAGACCAAAAATATTGATGATTTGTCTTGCACTCTGGGGTTAAGTATTTTTTCCAATAACAAACTCTTTAGAATGAGAATCAATAGTAATACATTTTTTTCCCATGTCTTTTAGTATGTTACCCAAACCGTTGAGGTGGAGTCGCCTTCAACTCTGCGTCAACTATCTGAAGCCAGACAACAGAATGCACAGCTTTCTGGGAAGCTAAGCAACCAGAGCGAACGATGCAGACAGTTGGAGGAGAACATCAGACATTCAGATGAAGTCAGCTGCAATTTGCAACACAAGGTTTCTCAGCTTTATCCATTTGTTTTTATGATGGTACATACTGTATAAACTAAAGCTCTTAACAGCCTCTGCTGTTGAATTATACAGTTCATGTCAAAACACAACTAGAAAACCCTTAGCTCTTCTAAAAAAGCAATGGCTCCACAGATTGCTGCTTATGAGAGGGAGATTGGGACCCTGAGGGAGGAGCTGCTGAAGGAGATTGGACATCTTGAGGAAAAGAAAGAAGCCGCTGTAAAAGCGGCAGCCAACTGCTCTGAGGAGCATTTCCAGAGCCTGCAGAACCAGTTTATAAGTGAGTTTACTGTATATAGACTACAAAACTTAATAGATGGTTCATGCCTGTTCTTTAAAAATTGTTTTGGTGATTTCATGTTTTCTGATCCCTTTATATCTTCCTTGTCTTGAATGGCACACTTGAAATTGTCTATAGCATGGATGGGCAACGTCGGTCCTGGAGTGCCGCTGTCCTGCAGAGTTTAGCTCCTCACACCCTAATCAAACACACCTGAACAAACAAATCAATGTCTTCAGTATTACTTATACCAAAGCCGCTTGAAGGCAAGTCTGCAACCTTAGCGGAAAAAAGCGTAATGCCAGATAACGCTGAGGTACACAGGGAAGGATACACGAGGTCATTTTTTAAATGTTTGTCGATGGAGGAGAGGATAACCCCTTTTGTGAGGAAATAGCTTATCATGTAATGAATCGACAGCCCATTGGCTAATCTTCAGCATGTTCGCACATTTGTTTTCGATTGATCTATTTTTAAAGTTTACACTAAAAAAATGCTGTCTCATAAGAGATGTTACGGAGTATTGCGCAACAGGTAGAGTTCAGTTTATGGCATTTCTCATTCATTTCTATGGTCTCCCCAAACAGTAATTGACTGTCGCACAACTGAACGATATTCAATGATGTTAAGGCTGTAATGTGATTGGTTATCAAGGCACACGTGATTAGCCATTATGCTTTTTCCAAAGGTAGAGCCACGGACCCTCGTATCCCCCAATAATAAGCCCATCTCTGCTAAGGCATTGTTAAATGTACGGCAATGTGTGTGGCTCAGCGCATGTTTATGTGTAATTTCCAGCCCTCCAGAAGCGTCTCAGTGCTCTCCCTCCCACATTACGCTCCATGAAGACCGACTATGCCAGCCTGCGCACTCAGGTCCGCAACTTTTCTGACTTCTATGGAAATGCTATCAAAGAAGCCAAGAAACAGGTAAGCAAATATCTACTGCTGCACAAAACCTGTACTAAATGTACAACTTCTCAGATCGAAGAGTTATACATTGGAACATTTTATTTTTTGCTTTCATTTCTAAAAATATTCCCTAGATAATGGCAGCTATAAATGAGATGTCAGAGGCCAACAAAGACCTTTTGGAAAAATACAGAAAGGAGGTAGCACTCCGCAGGAAGTACCACGAGCAGCTGGTTGAGCTCAAAGGTTGGCAGTAATTACCATTTTTAACATTTCTGTCCATATGATTTAAGCAAAATATAAGAAACGTTTTGTGTATGTGTGTGTGTGTGTTTTCCACCAGGTAATATTCGTGTTCTGTGCCGTGTAAAGCCAGTACTGAAGGAAGATCAACATGAGGAAGGCCAAGCGGTAGTTGTGACAACAGACCCCAATAATGAATCTGCACTCACAGTTTTAAGCAAGGGAAAGGCCAAAAACTTTGAGCTTGATAAAGTATTTCATCCTCAGGCCACTCAAGATGAGGTAAGCAGAGTAAAAGTCATATTCACATGAATATTTTAGGCCTATAAACATCAGTAGCCTATAGTAATAATGCATTAATATTTAATGTCTGGTTGCTATCACTAAATTAGTCATTATTTTCATGGCTGATACTAAAATTCTATACTATTTTTTCTAAAAAATAAAATAAATAAAATTGTTTTTTAAATTTGAATTTAAGCATCACAACATTATTAAAAATGTATACTACATTCATTTTGAGATTAGCTAAAGATTACACTGTAGTGTAATTAAGTTATCTGTTAAGATTAAGTGAGCATTAGATGAAATTCGGGAAAAGCACGCACAAGTAGATATCCAAAAAGTATAAAGTGTAGCGATAAATCTCCAAAACCAGCCAATAATGGTACCATACATAGTGCATCCCTACAGTATAGCTAGCGTGAACTATTAAAGGGATAGTTCACCCAAAAAGGTAATTTACTCATCCTCAAATTGTTCCAAACCTGTATGAATTGTTTTCTTCTGTGAAGGAAGATGTTTTGAAGAATGTCGGTAACCAAACAATTAAAGGAGCCTTTTGACTTCCATATTTTTTTTTCTCCAAACTATGAATTGATTGACCCATATACTTCAACATATCTTGTTTTCAGCAGAAGAAAGAAACTCTTCTGCTGTTTGGAACAACTTGAGGGAAAGTAAATGATGACAGAACTTTCATTTTTGTTTGAACTATACCTTTAATTGATCAAGAAAGCATTTTTAGTAATGTTTTTGATGTGTTTTTTATACCATTCTTAATATCTCAGGTGTTCCAGGAAATTGAGCCGCTCATCACATCCTGTATAGATGGCTATAATGTTTGCATCTTTGCTTATGGGCAGACAGGATCTGGCAAGACCTATACTATGGAGGTAATATATCTGTAACTATATACCTGTCATAACACATGGTTCCGATTTCATACTTTTGACCCAGATGATCTGTTTCCATTAATTATTCAATAAGACTGTCAGGTCTCATTAACCATCCGTGTCTGCTCAGGGTACAGTTGAGAACCCCGGTATCAACCAACGAGCCCTGAAACATCTGTTCAATGAGATTGAGGAAAGAAAAGATATGTGGACGTATACCGTCAGTGTCAGTTCGGTGGAAATTTACAACGAGGTCCTGAGGTATTGTATTCTAGCTCTTTATCATGAAAAATTCTGTGGTCAAAAAACATTTTTGAATTTCAAATAAATTATTATTCAATTAAATGTTAGCAGCACCTAAGTAAACATTCAAGCTATTGGATCATGCAATAACCTGTTGATCATTTGAGGTTTATGAGGAAAATTAAAGGGTTATTTCTTCCAAATATTAAAATTGTCATCAGTAACTCACCCTTATGTCGTAAACTTCCAATTCCATAAGACTTTCATTAATCCTTGTAACAAAAGCTCGAAACCTGTGAGATTTCTGTCCTGCTTTATATTACAGATTTAAATGTAATTTTACATTTAAACACTGATCAACTCACATCCATTGAATACATTAAATATGGTAAACGGAAGCTCAACTGCACTTAAATTTACATTTATTCATTTAGCAGACACTTTTATTCAAAGTGACTTACAAATGAGGAACACAATTGTTTTTTTCAGATAAACTAAATTCTAGGAATTGCAGTAGGGTTGAGTAAATAATGACAGTTTTCATTTTTGGGTGAACTAAACCTTTAATACAATTCAACTGTTAAAAATTTTTTGGTTGTTAACAACAGAGATCTACTAAGTAAGGATGGAGAGAAGCTTGACATCAAGATCAACCCTGATGGGACAGGACAGCTCCATGTGCCAGGACTCAGGGTCAATGAGGTCAAAAGCTTCCAGCATATCAAAAAAGTGAGTCCCAGGGCGTCATCTGTCAAGATAATGCTGACTATATAAAAAACTTCTCTCCTATAATCTATTGGGGTTTTTTGCAGATTTTGTCCATAGCTCGAAAGAACAGGATTACATTTGGAACGCAGATGAATCAGCATAGCTCTCGATCACATGCCTTGCTCACTGTGACTGTGCTGGGCACAGACCTCGCCAGTGGAGCCAAAACCACCGGTCAGTCTCAACGACTCTGGATCTTTAGATTGCTTGAGTTCTTCGTGTTGAGTTCTTAAAAGTCTTGATTTCCGCTCAAAAAGCCCTCTACATCCAAAATCCCTGACCTTTCCTTTGCAGGCAAGCTGAATCTTGTGGATCTGGCTGGTTCTGAAAGGGTGTGGAAGTCTGGGGCAGAGGGGGAAAGACTGAAGGAAGCCCAGAATATCAACCGCTCACTGCTCGCTCTAGGAGATGTGATCCAAGCTCTTAGGGCCCACCAGACTCACATACCCTTCAGGAACTCACGACTCACCTACCTGCTGCAGGACTCACTAGGAAAAGGCAACAAAACCGCCATGGTTGTTCAGGTACAAGGATTTACCAAGACTCACAAGTTAACCCCATTACCTTAACTGTGCTAAGCCCCTTTCAAAATGACAAATGTGAAACCCTGGGTTAGCCAGTGTCCAGTGTGGAAAAACCCATTTGACTATCAGCACAAAGTCTATACTGTAACACCAAATTAGTCAGGATAGAGCCAAGGTAGCTGACCGAAATCTATATCTAACAACAGTTCTTTCTTTTTCATATGATGCCAATGGGGTTTAGACATTCTGCCATGAAAAAACTAATTTCAGGGAGCACCTACACAACAAACCTCTGCTAAAGAAATGTAGAGTTTAATGATATCCCTTAAGTGGTCATTGAATTACTTGCCAAACCAAGTGGAAACAAGGCACACATCCACTCAATTTCCAGAATATTTAACATAGTTTGTCTTTAGAGAAGAAACTATCAATGTGCAGGAGACAAAAACAAAAATTCTAATTAAAAAAAATGCTCTGGACTTCATAGACAAAAAGCACCTTTTTTTTCTCAAAGTCCCCTTGTAGTCAATAATTGTATCCCTTAAATCTCATTTTTGATTACCAAAATGGCAAGTTTTTTCCTGTGAGTTTTTTATTCATGCCTTAAAATAGCTTGAATGTAACTACATTTGTAGTACACTTGCCTCATTTAGTATACGCTGATACCATGAATATGCAAATGTACCCTACCTCCACTCACTCATACAGGCTTGACTACAAGTCGATGTATCAGAATAGTAATGTGTTTTATGTATCGTTCTCTAGAACGTTCGACACATAACCGTAATTAACCCCATTCGCCATCTCAGTCTGCCATCTAAAAATCCGTATCCGTAGAAACACTTTGAACTTACAGTAGTGGAGAAAGGCATATAGTTCATCATAACATTGTAAGATACATCACATACATAATCCACTCGCTATATTACTAAATGTACCAGATTTTTCATATCAACGGAAAAATATACATTCCCGGATATCCTGGCTTCTGCTTCTCTTGCAACTCGAAACTTAATAATATCCTAAAGCCCACCGGCACATTGATGTGATTGGTTACAAGAAAGTTTGTGACCTAAAAACACTGGCGATTTCAAACCAAGTTTTTGAGACTGTCTTTTATCACTACAGTTTTGAGAAAATACTCAGCAATGGTGTTGACTCATGAATTTCAACTCTACGCACTCGTAATCTAAACAAAACCTTGTACTTAAACAATTGTAAGCAATTTTAACCATATTTTACAAATATGGAACAAAGTTCTCAAAGTTCTTGAATGGTCTATAGGTAGTCCATGGGAATGCCATTTGATGGACACAGTAATGTCAGATTTTGCTACTTGTGTAAAAATAATTTGTCTTCTTTAGGTTTCATCGCTTGAGAGCAACGTCGGAGAGACCCTGTGCTCGCTAAAGTTTGCCCAGCGAGTGTGCAAGGTGGAGCTGGGCCCTGCTGCAAGAAAAATTGAGACAGGAGGACATAATGAAAACAAAAGTTAATGCATACCATCAACCCTCACAAGTAACAGCAGGACCAGAAAGGGCATTAAGTGTAGATGGGACAAGCCTTGCACTTTTCAGCCCGTGGCTGAGGCTTCCAATCCTACTCAAGGGCTACAGTTCTGGAAACGTCAGTGATGCCACATATCTAGCAATGGCTTTATCCATTAGCTGATCTGCATGTCAAAGTCTCACCAACACCCACCACCACCAGTTTCAAGACAAGCTCTCCATCAACGCAAGTTCAAAATATCACAAATTCTCCACAGGAAAAATTGATGAGGTCATTTCAGTAAATCTTGGGAGTCACAACATAAAAGACCGCAGTATCTTAATCGCTTGATGTTTATACTGATATTTACTCAAAAACATCTAAATTATTTGGTATAATATTTAGGAAGTAATGGCCAAAATATGTTTGTGTGTGGTTTGTGTGGACGTCCATGATTATGTTATATATGTAGAACCAGTCGATCCGTCTTTTATTAGGTAAAATGGATGTGAGTTGAGCTGAATTGCACAAAGTCAGCATTTGCTGACTCTATTTCTCTGCAAAGGTGGTAGCTTAGCATTTTAAGATCCAGGCTAATAACCGAAAGGTCACATTTTCAACCATCTGAAGGGGTGATTCATGAACTGGATAGTTCTTGAGTCATTTGACTGAGGTATTTATAAGTAAATCAAGCCAGCCTTTGGATAAGAAAGCTTCTGCTGAAGATAAGAATGAATGTAACTATACTTGACAAGAATATGTGCAATAGCCAATTTCTTAGTGGCGAACATCTCATTTTTCGGTTTGAGAGTAAACCACACTGAATAAAATGTTCCTCCTAAACATTATATATACTCTGTTTTCATTATTCATTTGTAATAAATGTGCAACGTAAATTACATTTAAACGAATGATATAGAGGTATTAACTTTCTGGGATTATTAGGATAAGTTTACGTTTAATGTGAAATGTCATAGCTCTTAGTTTTAGCCATGTTACAGTGAGAGGATAATGAATGCACTTTATTGTCAAAGACTTGTGCTGTTCATACAACTTGTCTTTTAACCAAAAACGAGTACGTAGGTCTATCATTTTGTTTGTGAAAATTAGCAGTGGCTCAAGTACCCAAATTAAGTTATTAACATTAAATAAATTAATAAAGCATTGCCGTTTTAGATGTACAATTTCTCTTGAATTGTGATAATTTGTATTCTCCTCTGTAATGAGTCTGATTTTGAAACCTCCCATTTAATGTATATTAATTAGATAGGAGAGAAATAAAACATAAAAATGTCAATCTACCCCTTCTTTGTCCGTTTTAAATAAAGCCTACTGCCATTAATGTTTTATCATAAAGCACAGAAAGGAAAAAAGTCAGTCAATTTAGAAAAGAACAAATTGTTTACTAATAAACAACAACAAAATAATAAAATAGAGAGGGATTTTGATGTTCTTTGTGTACTCCACAATTTAAACACATGTAACTCATTCACTCACACTTATTATCACCTGATGTGGTTGTAAGAACTCATTCTGAGCTCAGCATAAGAAATGCATTTTAAACACACACTGCTATGTAATGGGGAATAGGCTGTAAAGTTCTAGAAAATCTGTTGTGTGGGACCATCATTCAGTCGGAGTCTCCCTCTTCCATGCCAACTGCTCCGACTGCTCCCGCCAGCTCTGCCTCGCTGCCCTTGAGCCGTTCTCCTGTCGAATCACACATGCCCAGACATAAGCTATGAACATGAGGTATGACTACACTACATGACTCAAAAACACATGTGAGCTCTAGCTCTGATTGGTCTACAAAATATTTATTTTCTAGATAATACAGACTTTCATTTTTATTGTGGATTTGAGAGACAAAACAACTAGTAGTGTAATAGTAATGCGTGTGCCAGAGGAGCATATAAAGACAGGAAATCCATCCGTCATTAAGAGACGTCAGATCTCTGGGGCTTTTTAAATCCTCACAGCAATTAGCCTTACATGAAGCACTGGCGGAGCTCATTACAAAAAGGCTTTACAACTACAGTATATCACTGATAAAAGTGATGTAAAGATGGATAGTGCTAAGTGCTACATTGTTTTGTTTTTTGTGACACCAGTCAAAAGCCATTCACACCAAGAACAATAACGATAACTATATTAGCATCCGCACCAATGGGCAACACCATTTTGTTTAAGTGCTTCAGCTGTAATTTTAAATCCTCAAGCTCTTTAAAGTCAATGTTTCTTTTGTTATTATTCATCAGCTGGTTCTGAATGTGATTCCAACATCCATCATTATCATAATAGCTCTGGTGTGGAAATCTCAGAATTTTAATATTCTTTAATAATATTGTTATAGTTATTGCACTCCGTGTGAACGCGGGTCCAAACATGCCCTTTTACGAAGTCTTGATTTTGTTTTTGGGGTGTACTAGAATATGTTTTCATGCTTGATATGTGAAAAATAATGCTTTTTTAAAACAATTCTCCATTTCTGATACGTCACTATATGAAAAACCGCTGATAATGCAATGAAAATTATGAGAAAATTAAAGTGTTTTTTGAACTTAGTTGCTACAATAACCTATTGTCGGAGGCCTCCTAAAGAAAATAAGGAATCTTAAGGATGGCATAAGGGCACTTAAAAAAAAAAATCCTGTCTCAGTTAGTGTCATACTCACGTATAAGTTCAGCAATGGCTTTCTGTGTTCGCCTCTCTAGCTTCTCAAGCTTCTTGGCAACATCCCTCTTTAGATCCCTGTAATAAACACAAAAATGTTTTTATTTTTATTTTTTTATTAACAGCATTAAACTAATGAAAATTAAACTAAACTCAAATCACAGTGAAAATTATGTCTGATTGTGTTTTATAAATAAAAATTGAATGTTTGTACCAGTCTGGTTTTCTGGGGGCAAGATTGGCCAGATCCTGAGAACACAAGTCAAGAGAAAAAATATTTATTCCAAACTTTTGACAAGTAGTGTAACTGAGTGTAAGGAAACTGATGCTGTCCATTTGGCATCATGTTTGAAAACAGAGACTTTGGATTGAGGGAAAATTCAACTCACCACTTCCTCAATCACAGGCTCTGGGTTTGCAGCTTCCAGTTGGTCCTTGACCTTGTCCTCCACTACAGAAATATGAAACAAGACCATTAAAGGAATAATTCACTTAAAAACTAAAACTCTGCCATCATTTACTCACCCTGAATTTGTTTCAAACCTGTATGAATTTAATTTAATTTATTTGGAAGAATGTTGGTAACTAAACAGTTGATAGACCCCAATGACTTCCAATGTAGGAAAAAAAATACTATGGAAGTCAATGGGGTCCAACAACTGTCGGGTTACCAACATTCTTCCAAATATCTTCATTTTTGTTCAGCAGAAGAAGAAAAAAAATCATACAGGTTTGAAACAACTTAAAGAGTGAGCACATAATGACAGTTTTTTTAATTTTTAAGTGAACAATTCCTGACAACCAGTAACTCAAAACTTGATCACCTGATGTAACCATCACCCAGCATGAGAGGTCAGCTTAATTTGCAATTATAAACATTTGAAAATATAATTTAAAAGGTACAGCCAGTAATATTTATTGTGCAGGTAAGCCAGAAGCGTTCTCACCTGATGCAGGTTTTGCTTTGGGCACCTGTCTCTCCTTCAGCTCCTCGTCCTCCGGTGTGTAATTCCTCAGCTTCAGCTCTCTGCAAACATAATCGCGAAACTATGCAGTTCACTCGCAGTTATGAACAAGCGTTTAGTCATTGCCTCTATTATAACCTATATCATTAATTCAAGAAAATAATACAAAGGCAATCACAGGAAACACCCGTAACCAGCAGGTGGCAGTGCAGATAAACATTTAGTTTGGACAGTGGGCAGCTGGTACTATTATACGAGTGCTGAATCCGCTCTGTGGCCGCATCCAGAGTACATTCACTCACCATGTGTACAAAGCCTCCCTTCATCTTTGCAGAACTAGCTAATTAGCATGTAGCACCTGACCGTGTCTAGGGACCACAGCTGAGAGGGGTTGAACTTGAAACAAGCCCAATTATGCCATCACCAGGTCTGTTAACAAGCAATCTATTAACTTGCAAGTTACAGCAAAATGTGCTGCTGGATCTTCAGGGAAGCACAGAGGGTTCTTCACAGCATGATAAACACAACGTCAAAGTTTGTTTCAAACTGTCGAGACTAAGAATTCATTTTCATCAAATTGCTCACTTGTTGGTCTCTTGAGATGTGTGCCAATTTTGTTCTCAAAAAAGGGGCTACACCAGGCCCGCACTCATCACCGCCTTGTATTCTTTACAAATATCATGAATTATATATAAAAAAAAAAAAAGTTAACTTTGAGATGTTTAAAATTAAATAGATTAATTATTAAGAAAGTTTCACATGATATTTTTAGTCATTACACTGAAACCTTTCCTGAAAATAGAATTCAAATTTCAAAAACACATTAATACAAAAAAGTACATTTCTGAGAACCTGGCACGTGCGTTTAAACTAGATTTTTAAAATCACATTTCCTCTTCTTAATCATGAATAATACTCTTATTTGTCATCAGCAGTGTTTACATTCAAAGTTGCAAATTTCACTTAAGCACAAAAATTGGAATATCACATAAAACAGTTTCCATCCCATGTGCTCAAGACAACAAAATCATCACTTCCCTGGAAACTGAAGCAAAATATCAGTAATAAAAATGGAAGTTTCTGCAATTGGGGAAGCCACTGTGGCTGATTTTGTACATAACGACTTGAGCAAAGCAGACAAAACATGTTTTTTATGCACATTTTTAGAATTAAAGTGCATCTCCATTGTTTTTTGTTTTTTTTATGCGATCTCTCAAAATTCACATAAACACGGGTCGATGGAAACATATCTATTGACTACAGGTCCACAGTCATCCAGTATTGAGTCAAGTGTCAACAATGTGATGTTTGTTTTGTTTATTCTATCAATAAATTATTTTTCTATAACGAGGGTGGTAATGTAAAAAAAAAAACCTCATTAAAAAAATCTAAATCTTGATGGGAAAACCTGGCGTAAACTTAATATTATTTCTTAATAAAGCGTTTCACTGCTTATTTGCAAAATGTCCCCCAAATCAAAGTCATGTGGTGCGACCAACATTTAGAAATCAGTATAAAAGTTTCTCAAAACCATATAAAAAAAATTAAAAGATGATTCCTCTTGTTTATTGTGGACACTTATTGGGGCCCACATTCGTCACCGCCTGATCTAAATGAATTTCAGTCGAGTCAAACCATCTAATTAAATGGGCTGGGAACAAACAGATTGTGTCAGCTGGGTCACAATTCCTTTTCTAGTCTTGGGTGTAGGATTGTCAAAATAAAGCGTAATGAAATGGAAACAAGGTCACACAACACAAAGCATGGCGACCGCCACCTTAATAATAATCAAATTTCATAGCCAAACTCCATCAAGGCCCAGGAAATTTGCACAAAATATTATGACCCCAAAGGCCCAAACAAGAGTTTTTGAAGCACGTTGGAAAAAACACTCAAAGCAATCGACTGAAACAAAGAGCTGGGAACGCCTCCCTGTCCTCAACTTTCCTGAAAAGACTTCCTGACCACCTGCTGGAACAATACAGGAGGGACCACTGGCTTTCCTCATCTACAGTACAACAGCCAAACAATTCAACATTTTCAGAATGTCAACAGACGTTTATAAACCCTAAGTGAGCATTTAGAACATCCTGAATCCTGAATAACTCATGGCCAAGGGTTTGGACGCATTGCCTAGAACAGTATCCTGCTTTCTAATTTAATCACATACAGAAAGATGGGCCTAATGCTCAAGGGACGGAGCTGAATTGAGTGCCTTGACAGTTTGGTGGAAGGTCTCTCGTTTCTCAGAGCCAGCAAAACAACCGAGGGGACCAATGTTGGGCCTCCTTCACTCTATAATAGGCAGCAGTGGAACAATAAATCCAGGCTGCTGACAAAAGTCATTTACAAAGTAGAGCGATAATACCAAACGCGATGTGGTGAGATAGGCTTCTGCTTTGCTTGGGAAAATTCAAAGTCAAGTTGGAATTTTGATATTTGTCTTACTGCTTAAACTGACAAAACACTGTCTGGTGAAAGGGTGAGGTTCATTCAAAACTTGGGCAGACATCCATTATCTGGCTCACCTTACTTCAGATTTTTG